TCTGTGGCGCTGGCTGATCCCACTTCGGGACCAGTCACTGCGCGTCACACTACCACCTTGCCGTGTCCGGCTGCTCCTTCTGGGTCTCTCACTGGGTTTCACGTCCCCTCGTTCTCCCGGAACTTGGTGGGCGTGCGACCCCTCGTGAGTCAGCACGTGGGTGTGTGGTTTGAGCCTTCTGGAGAGACTGCGGTGTGTGTTGACGGGGACTCTTACCAGCCCCTCGCCACTTTTGCTGCTGAGCCGGGCTCCGGTCTCTACACTCTTCACACTGGCCTGCGCGCTCAGCAGCGACTGCAGCAGCAGCAGCAGCAGCCGCAGCAGCAGCAGCAGCAGCAGCAGCAGCGGCAGCAGCCGCAGCCACAGCGGCCGCCGTCGCAGCGGCCACTCCTCCCAGTTCCTGTCCCTCCCCCTAGTCTCCTCCCTGCGTCTCACCAGGTGGTTCCGTCCCCTCAGGTTGTCGCGTCCAGTCCAGTCGCTGCGTCTTGCTCCTGTCGGTCGCTTGCCCACCCCACCGTTCTGTGGCACCACCGGATGGGACACCCTTCTCTTCCACGTCTGCGTGCTATGTCTAGTCAGCGTCTGGTCTTAGGTCTCCCGCGTGTCTTGCCGTCGCTGCCGCCGTCTCTTGCACCACCGTGCGGTCCTTGCGTCGAGGGTAGGCTGCGTGCCACCCCTCACTCCTCCTCCCTTCGTCCGGCCACCGAGCCTTTTGAGACGCTGCACTTGGACGTCTGGGGCCCCTCTCCTCGCCCTGGCCCTGAGCGTGAGCGTTTCTTTTTGGTGGTCGTTGACGACTACTCCCGCTACACCACAGTGTTCCCCCTGGCGAGGAAGTCTGAGGTGACTTCTACGCTGATCAGGTGGTTGCTTACCACCCAGGACACTCGTGGTCGTCGTGTCAGCTGTCTCCACTCCGACCGCGGGGGCGAGTTTCGCTCCGGCATTCTCGCTGGATTCTGTCGCGAACAGGGCATTCGTCAGTCCTGGACGCTTCCGGAGTCCCCACAGCAGAATGGGGTTGTTGAGCGCCGCATAGGCTTGGTCATGGAGATTGCCCGCACCTCCTTGACTCACGCCCGTGCCCCCCATTTCCTGTGGCCATACGCAGTCAGGTACGCCGCGCACCAGCTGAACCTCTGGCCACGCGTCTCTCGGCCGGAGGCTTCACCGACCAGTCTTTGGACAGGGTCCCCTGGTGTCGCGTCGAGGTTTCGTGTCTGGGGGTGCTTGGCTCTTGTCCGCGACACCTCCGCGGACAAGCTCTCGCCTCGCGCCGTTCCTTGTGTCTTCCTTGGTTTCCCTGAGGACTCCTCTGACTTCACCTTTTACCACCCTCCCTCTCACCGGTTCTTTGACTCCCGTGACGTCCGTTTCGAGGAGTCCACCCCGTACTACGTCAGGTACCCCAGTCGAGGTCTCCCGGTTCCTCCTCCCCCCCTCTTCCTGACAGCCGCTCCCCCGCCTGCTCCCCCGGTACAGCCTCCCCCCCCTGGTCCAGCCCCGTCTGGTGTGTCTCAGGCTAGCCCTCCCCCTTCGGTAGCCCCCCCTGTACAGCCTCCCTCCCCACAGTCTTCCTCACCGCCTCCTGTAGGTGCTCCCTCTCGGGAGGTTGGTCCTGCGACTGTCCCTGTACAGGTCTCTGGTTCTGGGGGTGCTGGAGTTGGAGCTGAGCCGCGGGTTGCAGAGGACTCTTGTCTTCCGGGGGCTGGTACTGGTCGTGCGGAGTCTGGGGGTGCTGGTGCGGAGTCTGGGGGTGCTGCGTCTGGGGGTGAGGGTATCCCTACGGTTTCTGGAGAGCCTGGGTTAGGAGCTGGTGTTGGTGCTGCCTCTGGGGGTGGTGTGCTTGGTGCTTCGGAGGTCGACTCTGGGGCTGCCGCTGCCCCGGACACTACTCCTTCCCCCCACCCCTACCCGACCAGGTTCCAGGCTCGTGTTCGCCGTGCTCGTGAGGAGCAGCTGGAGTTGGAGAGAGAGGAGAGAGAGTTGCAGCGGCTCGAGGAGCAGGAGCGACAGCAGCAGGGGCAGCAGCCGCTGGAGCAGCAGCAGCCGCAGCAGCAGCAGCAGCTGCCGTCTCCTCCTCCTGTCTCGGGTCTTCGGACCCTTGGTCTCCCCTCTCCCTCTCCTTCCTCCTCCCCCTCTCCTCCCGTCTCTGGTCCTCCGCTTCCTCCTCCTGACCCCTCTCCCGCTGTTTTCCCTCGTTCTCAGTCTTCGTTGTCCCCTCCTCCTTCTCAGACTTGGGCCTCTCGTCGCTCCCCTCGTGCTCGTCCCTCGTCTCCTGTTCCCTTCACTGACCTTCGTACTGCCTTACTTCGTTCTAGTCCACCTCGTCCGTCTCCGTCTGTGCTTCCGTCTCCTCCTGAGTCGGCTCTCACTGCGTCGCTCCCTACTCCTGTCACTGACTACTACCGCACGTACCGTCCTCTTCTCTCTCGTGTTCTCGCCTCGCTTGTTACTCACCCTCGTGCCTCTGTGTCCTCTGTGTCCGCTCTTACTGCCGCAGTCACTGACTTTGCCTCTACCCGCCGCCTTGACTTCGCCACCGCTCTTGTGGCTGCTCCTCCTTCCAGTCCTCTGGCCGTCGGGGGTGTGTCTGCCCTTGGCTGTGACGCCCTAGAGGACAGGCAGTTTGAGCTAGAGTTCCTGGCGGCCGCTTCCCCTCATCTCTGTGCCATGCTCCTCGCCCCTGAGGGTGACCCCGACGCCCTTGACATTCCGACTCCTCGCACTTACGCTGAGGCAGTGTCAGGGCCTTGGGCCTCTCAGTGGAGAGCTGCCATGGACGCAGAGATGGCCTCCTACAGATCCACAGGCACCTACGTCGATGAGGTTCCCCCTCCGGGGGCGAACGTAGTCGACGGCATGTGGATCTACAGGGTGAAGCGGCCACCGGGATCTCCTCCGGTCTTCAAGGCGCGCTACGTGGCTAGAGGTTTCAGTCAGCGCGAGGGAGTTGACTTCTTTCAGACCTTCGCGCCCACCCCGAAGATGACCACTCTTCGGGTGTTACTACACGTAGCAGCACAGAGAGACTACGAGTTACACTCTCTCGACTTCTCTACTGCTTTCCTTCAGGGCAGTCTTCACGAGGAGGTCTGGTTGCGTCGTCCCTCTGCCTTCACTGGCTCTTTCCCTCCTGGGACCCAGTGGAGGCTGAGGCGACCGGTTTACGGTCTTCGTCAGGCTCCTCGTGAGTGGCACGACACCCTGCGTTCTACCTTGTCTGACCTTGGGTTCCAGCCGTCTTCTGCTGACCCGTCGCTGTTCGTTCGTCGTGGCCCCACACCTTTCTTTGTTCTGGTCTACGTTGACGACCTTGTTTTCGCCACCCCTGACAGGGTTGCTTTGGCACACGTGAAGTCCGAACTGCAGAAGAGACACACCTGCACTGATCTTGGTGAGCTGCGCCACTACCTTGGCCTGCAGATCACCAGGGACAGAGCTGCTCGCACCATTACACTTTCACAGTCGCACATGGTGCAGCAGGTCCTTCAGCGGTTCGGGCTTCAGCACTCCACAGTACAGCGCACACCTCTTGCTGTTGACCACAGACTCACTGGACCCTTTCCTGACGAGCCGTTCGAGCCTAGTGGTCCCTACGCAGAGCTTGTGGGTTGCCTCATGTACCTGATGACTTGTACTCGCCCGGACCTCGCCTTCCCTCTCAGCGTTCTTGCGCGCTTTGTTGCGCCAGGGAGACACCGTCCTGTTCACTGGACAGCAGCTGTGAGGGTGGCGAAGTACCTAGCGACGACGTCAGGCGTGGGGCTAGTTCTTGGAGGGCAGCAGTCTGTCGTACTTACTGGTCACTGTGACTCCTCTTACGCTGACGACGCTGAGACTCACAGGTCTACTCAGGGGTACTGTTTCAGCCTGGGTTCTGGAGCTGTTTCCTGGCGGTCCACGCGCTCCTCTTCGGTCTCGACCTCTACAGCTGAGGCTGAGATCTACGCTGGTGCCATGGCGGCACAGGAGCTGCGTTGGTTGACCTTCTTGCTCACCGACCTTGGTGAGCGGCCGAGCTCTGCACCGACCTTGTTCACTGACAACAAGGCGTCTATTCTCCTTTGTCGAGAGCCACGACTGGAGAGCAGAGTGAAGCACATTCACGTCAGGTACTTTCTTCTGCGAGAGTTGCAGAGGCGTGGACAGGCTCGCTTTGAGTTTGTGGAGTCCGAGGCCAACACTGCAGACATCTTCACCAAGGCGCTTCCGCCTTGTGACCACCAGAGGTGCTGTGTGCAGTTAGGCCTTGTTGACACTGGTTCTCGTGTTGCTTAGACTTGAGTGTACTGTTTACTTTGCTTTCTATATATCTCTGTTACTTCTTGGACTGGCCTTGTGGCCACTGTTGTTTGTGCTCAGACTGTGTGGTGACGTTGTGATCCACCCTGAGCCTTGTTTCTTGGACTGGTCTTGTGACCGTACTCGTTTGGTTCTGTTAGACACCCCTCACTTAGGCTATGGGGGTGTGTCAAATGTTGTAGCCTATAGTGAGGTTTGTCTTAAGGGGTACAAAACTTAGGGTTAGCTATATGTACCCCAACCAACATCAATGCACCATCCATTCTTCATTCTGACAGTGAGGTAGCGCGGTAACCGCAGCGGTAGGTGGGCCCGAAAAAAAAACGGTCCTACGGACCTTAGTGCTCTGAAACCATGTCAGAATCTAGCAGCAGGAATGGATGAACTAACAGGATGCAGGAGTACAAGTAGTAAACCCTAATTGGGTTGTACCCCATATGGGCTACCCCACTACAACCTAGACAATATGCAGCACATATAGTTTGATAGTGGGATATTCTTATTTTCCAATAAACAAAATAGCACAATGAAGCAAAACCTACCTACCTGCCTACCAGCTACTGTTGCACAACCGCACTGTTCTAAACTAGCAATAACGGAAGTGACTAGAAGACATGAAAAAAACCTGCCTACATGCATGCAAGCGACAGCCTGTTACGACACCTCTTCAATCTAAACCGCCTCTACTGTTTTACTTAGAGCACCACATTATAACTGCAACGGAGGAACTTCCACAATCACATGCTTGCCGTCCTGGCCTTCATTCCCCAAACTTCCCTTTGCTGCCTTTAGCTCATCTGTTGCACCCGACACTTGCATGGGGTCATGCACTGGAATCACCACTTGATCCCCTTGCGCAGCATCTGCTGCAGCTGGGGTAGGTGCATTTGCACCAGCAGGAACGGGTTCAGCAGCGGCAACGGCAGCAGTAGCAGCAGCAGCAGCAGCAAGAGGAGGAGGAGGAGGAGGCGTGGCAGCAGCCTCTGCAGCAGCCTTTGCAGCAGCCCTTGCAGCAGCCCTTACAGCGGCGGGGGAGGCAGGAGGCGGAGCAATAGCCTTCGCTCCTTCTCTACCACTCCCCTTGCTCTCCACCTTCTTATCCGCAACTCCGCCCTCCTCCCCTTCCCCCTCCTCCTCTCCAACGGTCATCAACCCCTCTCCCCCCCGCGCCTTACCCGCCTGCTCCTTCGCATCTACCAGCACTCTCAGCACAGCAGCCATTTCCGGCCGTGCCCGCGTGGGGCGCACGCACTGTAGCGCCACCTGTAGCACGCGCAGCAAGGCTCCCGCGTCGTAGTCGCAGCCCAGCCGGCTGTCCGCTACAGCCGCTACATCCCTCGCCTGCACGTACGGGCCAACCCAGTGGGAGATATGCACGGGGCCGGCATTGTCCCGCGCAGGAGCAGGAGCTGCGACCGATCCATGTGCTTCCTTCTTCCCTGCCGCTGCCTTGTTATCCTCTTCCGCCTCTTCCGCCTCGACTTGCTTCCTTGCATTGTCATCTTTCCCTCCTCCTCCTCCTCCCCCTCCCACTTCTCCTCCCCCAACCTTTTCTGCGCCTCCCGCTCCTGCTGCGTTAGCCGCCTCCTTTTCCGCGCCATTCCGCTTCGCGGGGGTTCCGCCTCCCGCCTGAGACCCTTTCTGGGGCAGCTTTATGATGGCCCTTTGCCCAGTAAACAGTTCCAGTAACACCACACCGAAACTGTACACATCCCCTTTAGTAGTCACCTTCGATGTTCGGTGATAGTCCGGGTCCAGGTAACCGGGTGTACCAGCCACTCGTGTAAAAGCAGAGGTGGCAGCACCTGCGGAATCCCCAGCTCCTAGCATGCTCTTGAGCAGGCCGAAGTCTCCTAGTTTTGCGTTCAAGTTTTGATCCAGAAAAATGTTATCGGGCTTGATATCGCGGTGCACTATAGGGGGGTTTACTGCCGTGTGCAAGTAATGCAGCGCCTCCGCGGTTCCTATAGCGATGTCTAAGCGTTGGGTGAAAGTCAAGTGCGGGCGGGACTTGGAAAGTGCAGAACCGAGAGATCCATTAGCGGCGAGCTCATAAACGAGGATATACTCGCCCGACTCCATGCAGTAACCCAGCAGTCGCACGAGGCTCTTGTGCGAAAGTCGCGAAATCAGAAACACCTCTTTCTCGAAATCGCGAGCGCCGGCAGATCCTTCCGACAGCGGCCGCTTCGACCGTTTAACCGCCCACCCCACATCCCCGGGCCCTTTTCCCCGGTACACCTGCGCGAAACCCCCTTCGCCGATGAAATTGCGCGGACTGAACCATCCCGTCGCATCGCGCACTTCCTCTAATGTCATCTTTCGGAACAACCCCGCTTTAAGCTGATCCTCCCAAGACGGGCTCTTCTGCGGCTGCTTTCGCGCAGACGGCGACTCTTGCACCACGGGAGCGTTGCCTGCGGCGCCAGCTCCGGCGGCTCCTACGGCGGTGTTTGCGCCCGCTGGAACATGATAGGGAGCGATCGCGCGCCGGTTATCGTGGGGAAACTGCGGCGGAGTGTTGCTCGGGGGAAGCGCCAAGTGCTGCGGGCGGGGGGACGGGTACGCGCCGTGCACATGCGGGCTCGGGGGACCGCGCGAGGGGTACGCGCTGTTCACATGCGGGCTCGGGGGGCCGCGCGAGGGGTACGCGCTGTTGGGTGCGCCGAGGCTGTTGACCCGCGGGGATGTACCCGGACTAGACGATACTCCCGTTGACGAAGGCTGTCTCATGTAACCAGCTTTCGCGGGGAGAAGCGGAGGTCGCGCGGAAAGTCTACCGCGGCGGCGATGAAGACAGGAGAGGTAGATAACGCATGAGACGATGGAAGAGACGAGCAGGAAAGCGCCTGCCGCAATGCCTACGACTACTGCGAGCGGAAGCTCGAAGAATAAGAGCTTAACCATGGTTGGAAGAAGCGGAAGCGCAGACGGAGGGGGGTCTACAGCGGGAATGGTTGGGGAAACAATCAGGTGAGTGATCAAGACAGGCGTGGCTGGAAGGCAGGGCAGACGCGGAATGGCCGGGATGCGGCGGTCAGCTTGTGGCGCACAAGCGCTGTTAGCAGCAGATTTGGCCAGCGGCAATTGCGGCTTAGAAGTTGGTAACTACGCTAAGCGCCAGATGTTGCGTATGTGATGAGCGGCAAGACCCATGGTGAAACGTCATTCGGCTCGGCCATGGTGAGACTTGGCGTGGAATGTCTAATTTCCATGTTGAGAACTGATTGCCAGCGCGCGGAGAAAAAGGCTGCCAGGCTCTGGGCTGTGGAGGACGTAAGGCAGGATGCTCTGGTCGGTGGGGAAAAGAAGTCATGTTGGAGTATGTTACGCGAAGGAATGGAAGGGGGCTGGGGACGGGTGGCTGGCTCAGCTGCTGCTTGCAGAATGCTTCGAGAGGGGAACATAGCTAGCAACAGATGCACGAAGGAGAGAAATGGCTCGGATGGCGCAAGTGCGAGGCGCACATTCGAACACGACACGACGCGGCACGCACATCTGGTGGAGGAGGGGCTTCGAACCATTTGAATGGTTGGATTTGCATGGACCTTTTGCATAATGAGATCTGTACCGTCCACCTGCCCTTCTAGCTTTGCCAGATCTTGTTGTCGCGGCTCGCCCTTGGGTATGGGTTTGGTGTGGAAAGAGGCTCGGGTTGCCGAAGCAGCGCTTTTGGGTGCTGGTCTTTGAAATACTTAACAAAACACGATTCACGGCTGGATGATGCGTTCAAAAAAAGTGTTGATGAGGGTCGATCGCTAAGTGCTGCTGAGTGTTCAACAGGTACAAACAAACTTCCGAACCTCTAGGTTATGTGGACGTGCCTCTTCCCTATTTCATCCAAACGAACCAGCTTCGTGCTGACTCGTTTGGTAGCGCTTCCACAATAAGCAGGTTCGATAAGAGAAATGGAAAACTCGATAGGTGCAAGTGGCAATAAGCAGCTAGATATGACTGACGAGTGGTGTTAATTGAGCACATAAAATACCTACCACTAGGATAACTGTAGAAATCCATTTGAACCAATGATTTTCTGCTAGATTTTTTTAAGCAATATTGTGAGTTTGTGCATCTTGATGGTGCACTGAAGTGATGTGATAATAGCATCGTTATATATGCTGTTTTGACTGGTCTCTAATATCTCTTCCCGTGTACAAGTGTGTATTATTACGATCAATCGTTCCAGAAGTCTCCAACGAGTACCAGCCAAGGTCACACAGTCCCTAGGTATCAGCCTTCCAGAACGGATCTTACCTTATCGCTCGCCGATGCGCATTAGGTCTTACCAGGAGTTAGGGACAAAGGAGCGGCGAGGACTTAAATAGGCGCAGCAGCCATGGCGGGACGTGGTAGGGGTCGCGAGATGACTCTCCCCGCCTGTAAGCATCTTCACCCGTTCCTTTCCCTCCTTCACACGCGTCCTTCCTTTAGTCTTCTCTTTCTACTTTATTTTGTTCTTGCGCGTTGACTTGACACTATGTTTGCTAGCCCTTCTCCTTTAATTGGCTTTCGCTTCTGCCTTGGACGGGTTAGCAGAACAGGACGAGGCAGCATAGCAATGCACATGCGGCTGAACCTCCGACTTCCAATCTTCCATTTTTTTCACGACTCGCGTCGTTTCGCCATGCCACGCAAACCCATGTCATGAGATGCCATGCCATGCCATGCCATGCCATGTCGCGACTGACCGTGTTTCGCGCTGCATGGTTATCGCGCAGGGATGAAGTCGGCGGGAGGCAGCGGCCCCCCTTCAGCTATTGGCGCACGTCCCGAAAACCCCCCCGGACCCCCTGGCTCAGGTCCCTCCCCGCAATCCCCCGCTCCCCAATTCCCCCCGAATCGCCCACACGGCTTTCCGCCGAACCCTGGCGCGCCACCCTTTGCGCGTGGTCCCCCCGCGCGCCCCGGACCCTTCCCCGGCGGAATGCCCGTGCCGGTTGCGCCTCCGCATCTGCAGCCGCCTCCGCCGCCGCCCAGACCGGGGGAGGCCCACCACGGCCAATGCCAGGAATGCACGGACCTGGTCCCGGACCTCATCCCGGACCCGGACCTGGTTCCGGTCCTCCTGGTTTGGGTCCCCACGGCTCGGGACCTCCGGGAGTAATCCCTTCGCGAGGGCCCATGGGGGGCCCAATGATGGTGCGCCCAGGCTTTCCGCCGATGCATCTCCCCCCTGGCGCGCAGGGTTTCCCGGGAGGCGCTCCCCCCGGCCCCCCCGGACCTCCCCCCGGTCCCCCCGGGCCTCTCCCCGGCCCCCCTGGCGCGCCCTTCGCAGGCGGACCTCCCCCGCAAGCGGGCGCGCCTGGGGGAGGTTTTCCGCCGCAGTTCACCCCGCAGCAGATGCCGCCGCAGTTTCCGCCGCAAATGCAGCCGCAAATGGCGCACGCGCAGCAACAGCACCCGCCGCCACAGCAGCAGCAGCCGCAGCAGCAGCAGGGGGGAAGCGCAGGTATTCTGGGGAGGAGCAGTAGCAGTGGCGGAGCTAGTGGCGCAAGCGGGGCAACCCTGGGTCCGGGGACGGGGGTGGTGGTCGCGGTGGTGGTGGGTGAGGGGGCGCGCGCGGAGAACGCGGAGGGGGAGGGGGAAGGCGGGAATAAGCGGAAGAAATCGCGCTGGGATATTGATGCGGCTGCTAGGGCGAATAGAACGGCTGGGGGAGGGGACGAAGGGGGGGAAAAGGGGGAAGGGAGAGACGGGGGAGGCGGGAGAGAGGGGGAAGGAGGGGAAGGAGGGGAAGGCGCGGAGAAAGGGCGCGGGAGGGGCGCTGCGGAGGCAGGAGGTGGTGCTGGAGCCAATGGGGGCGTGCCACGTGGGCAATGGGGCGGCGAGGGGATGGGGAGTGCAGGGAGGGGAGGTCTAGAGGAGGCCGTTCAGTTCGCTGTACTGAAAGACCAGGTGGGTTGGAGGAGAAGAGAGAGGAGAGAGTGAAAGGTGAGCGAGCGAGTGTGAGGAGGAACCGAGGACGGTAAGTGGGGGAAAAGGAAGCGGAGAATGAGTGGGGTGCAGGAAAGGGGAAGGGGGGAGCTCGGGAGGGGACGGAAGGGATGTGGGGGTGAAGGGGAAGGGAGGAGGGGGTAGAAGTGGGGGCACATGCGAATCAGGGGGGAAAGTGAAAGAAGAAGGATAGGTATGGCATGGTATGGGCAGCTAGTGACTTGGTTGGGTTGGGCAATGCAAGCTATTCTCTACGTTCTCTCTACTCCCTCGCTCTCCTCTTCCCCCTGTTATCCGCTTGGCGTCTTCCTCATCCCCCTTATCTATCCCCCCCATCCCGATATCCCCCCATCCATCCATCCCTCCATCCACCCGTCCGCCCCTACATCTCTCCCTTCCCCCGTATTGGGCCAAGAGCAGGAAGTGGCGGCGCAAGCAGCTCTGGCTCGTGGGGCAAGGTGAGAGAGGGTCATCAGACCTCACTGCTTCTGAGGCACCTCAAGAAGTGTCCTTTGTCGTGCCAGATTCTTGCTACATGCCCGTTGTTTGATTGCTCTGCTGCGCCAAGTTTGATTTTTCTGCTGCTAGATTGCTCTACTCGTTCTTCCAGCAGCTCCCCTTGTCTAGGCGCCTCCTGCTTGCTTCTCGTTCAACGGGAACCGTTATAGTTGCTCAGGAAGAGGCAGTGGCTTTACGGTTCTCGTCTCCTGCGCTGCCCACACACGCGCGCGCTCTTGTGAACTTGCAAATATACACGCGCCCTGTTCTCTTGCCCAAGACAGGGGGGGGGGGGGGGGGGCGGAGAGATGTTCTCTCATAAGGCAATGTTCTCTCGGCGTTTCTCCCTCTTTCTCTCGTTCTACCCCCCTGCCTGTACACACGCGTGTGTGGGAAATAGCAGCCAGGCGGCATCAGGGGACATGGACACATCAGCTGACCCCCAGTCGCTGCTCAACGCCCGCCACGACCCCAACGCCCTCAAGGTAACCCGCCCAGCCCCACTCGCCCTCCTCTTAACTCACCCCTCCCCCCCCCTCCCCCCCACCCACACCCGGCCCTGCCCCTCACCCACCCCCCTCGTCCTCACCCGCTCTCCCCACTCGCTCTCACCGCTTACTCTCCCAGCTGCTGCTTTTGCCTTTGTAAAGTCCAGGGTCTTTTGCTTCCGGCATTCAAGCACGCCCATCAACTGTGCTTCACCTAAGACTGTGCCTGCTCCCGTTCATTCTGCCTGCCAACTTGCTCTGGCCGTTGCGTGTCTGTCGTGGTGTGTGCGCCTCGTGCATGTGCTCGCATGTGGCGTGGTGCCAGGGAAAGCTGCTACAGATGACAGCAGAGCACCGAGCAGAGGTGGCAGCACGGCGAGAGAGAGGCGACTCAGACCAGCAACACCACCAGCAGCAGCACCACCAGCAGCAGCACCAGCAGCAGCACCAGCAGCACCAGCAGCACCACCCGCAGCATGAGGAGCATATGGATATAGGCAACGGGTATGGCGTGCCTGGTGGGAGTGCCTCTGTGCCTCCTCCCCACGCTGCCCGTCGCCCCATGTTCTCGCTCGTCCCTGAACCGGACTTTCATCACCAGAGACGCGCACAGCAGGCAGAGCAACAACAGGAGCAGCAGCAGCAGCAACAGCAGGGGGGTGGGAATGTGTCAGGAGGAGCAGAGAAAGGGCCGGGTGATGGGGAAGGGAAGGCGGGCCCACCAACATCACCAGCAGCAGCGACAAGAACAGGGAATGAGGGAGGTGGGGGAGATGGAGGAGGAGAAGGAGGGGAAGGGGGAGCGGGAGGGGGGGGGGGCGGAGGCGGAGGGGGAGTGTCAGCGCTACCGGCAGCATTGCGGGAGCGGTTGCGTGCTCGAGGCATTCTCAAGGAGGGTGGTGGGGGTGGTGGGAAGAAGAATGCGGGAGGGGGTACGGCAACGGGCAGTAACAGCAACGCTGCAGCAGCCAGCTCTGCTTCTGCTACTGCCGCCGCTCCCACATCCTCTCTTCCTCCTGGCTGGGTAAGCCGCTAGATTTCGTTCTGGCTACGGTGTTTTCGCAGATCTCTCAGAGCAGGGGTGACCATTGCCCTCGTTCCCATCCGAACTCTTGAGTCGACTCAAAAACACCTCGTTACAACGGCACTCGACGTGTTTCCACACCAAACCCCCTTTGCCGGCCCCCCATCCTATCCCCGACCCACCACCACCACGGCCGGCAGTACGAGGGGGTGGACGAGGCAACAGGGGTCAAGTACTATTACAACGAGCACACGGGCGTGAGCCAGTGGGAGCCGCCAGTTACCGCGCCCAAGAGACCCATCCCGCCCCCGCCTCCCCCTCCTGTGCTCACCCCGCTGCCCCCTGGGTGGGAAGAGGCGGTGGACCCTGAATCAGGTGCGGAGGGGAGGGAGGGAAAGGGGGGGGGGGGGGGGGATTAAAAGGGAGCCGGCGTAACATGGGTTGCTCACTCAACTCCCTCCTGGGTGGGAAGAGGCGGTGGACCCTGAATCAGGTGCAGAGGGGAGGGGGAATGCTGGGAAAGGGGAAACAGCGAGGGAGTAATAGAGTGTTGCAGGGAAGTTTGCATGGCATCGGTCGCTCACTCCGCTGCCCCCTGGGTGGGAGGAAGCGGTGGACCCTGCATCAGGTGCGGAGGGAACGGAGGGCGGGATGGGAGGGAGGGCGGGGGGGGGGTAAAGGGAAGCCGGCATAACATGGGTTGCTCGCACTGCTCTCTCCTGGGTGGGAGGAGGCTGTGGATCCTGAATCAGGTGCGGAGGGATGGGATGGTGGGAGGGAAGGGGAAATGGAGGGAGGGAGGGATGGAGGGTCGCATGGAAGTTGGCATGGCATTGGTTGCTCATTCCGCTGCCCCCTGGGTGGGAGGAGGCTGTGGACCCTGCATCACGTGCGGAGGGGGAGGAGGGGGGGGGTTGAATGGGTTTAGGGAATGGGCTGAGGGAAGATGGCATGGCTTGAGTTGTTCACCCCGCTTCCCGCTGGGTGGGAGGAGGCTGTGGATCCCGAATCAGGTGCGGGGAGGGAAGGGGATTGGAGGGATGGGAGGGATGGGAGGGATAGAGGCAGTGGCATTGGTAGTGGCATTGGTAGTGGCATTGGTAATGGCACAAATAGTGCATTAGCAGTGGCATTAGCAGTAAGGCAGTGGCATTAAATCCCTTCCCCGCCCCCTCCCTCAAGCTTGTCCGCCACATTTCCCTCCCACCCATCCTCCCACTCCTCACCTCACCACCAGGCCACAAGTTCTTGTATCACTCCAGCACCAACGAGACCAGCTGGGAACAACAAGCACTGATTCCCAGGCGCCTCAGAATCGCTTTCCCCACTCCTCTTTCTCCCCCTTGTGCTCTCTCCGCCTGCTCACCACGCAGGCCACAAGTACTTTTATAACTCCACCACCAACGAGACAAGCTGGGAACGGCCCAAGGCACAGACCGCAGGCACAGGAGGGGCCGGAGGAGGGGGTGGGGAGGCGAATGGGAACGACAGTAGCAGTGGTGGTGCTGGTGCTGCGGGTGGCAGTGGCACGGTTAAGTTCAAGCGGTGTGCGGGTTGCCAGGGGTGGGGCCGGGCGTTGGTGCAATCGTGGGGTTATTGCAACCACTGCACCAGGTTCGATTCGATCACCACTCCCCTGCTTACCTTGCTACAACAACCCTACACCTGGTTGTTTTTGTTGTTGTTGCTGTTGCTGTTGCTGTTGCTGTTGCTGTTGCTGATGCTGATGCTGATGCTGATGCTGATGCTGATGCTGTTGCTGATGCTGATGCTGATGCTGATGCTGATGCTGTTGCTGATGCTGATGCTGATGCTGATGCTGATGCTGATGCTGTTGCTGATGCTGATGCTGATGCTGATGCTGATGCTGATGCTGTTGCTGATGCTGATGCTGATGCTGATGCTGATGCTGATGCTGTTGCTGATGCTGTTGCTGATGCTGCTGATGCTGATGCTGATGCTGATGCTGTTGCTGATGCTGATGCTGATGCTGATGCTGATGCTGATGCTGATGCTGATGCTGTTGCTGATGCTGATGCTGATGCTGTTGCTGATGCTGATGCTGATGCTGATGCTGTTGCTGATGCTGATGCTGATGCTGATGCTGATGCTGATGCTGATGCTGTTGCTGATGCTGATGCTGATGCTGATGCTGATGCTGATGCTGATGCTGTTGCTGATGCTGATGCTGATGCTGTTGCTGATGCTGATGCTGATGCTGATGCTGATGCTGTTGCTGTTGCTGATGCTGCTGATGCTGATGCTGATGCTGATGCTGATGCTGATGCTGTTGCTGATGCTGATGCTGATGCTGATGCTGATGCTGATTCTGATGCTGATGCTGATGCTGTTGCTGATGCTGATGCTGATGCTGATGCTGATGCTGTTGCTGATGCTGATGCTGATGCTGATGCTGTTGCTGTTGCTGATGCTGATGCTGATGCTGATGCTGATGCTGTTGCTGATGCTGATGCTGATGCTGATGCTGATGCTGATGCAGATGCTGATGCTGATGCTGATGCTGATGCTGCTGCTGCTGCTGTTGCTGTTGCTGTTGCTGATGCTGATGCTGATGCTGATGCTGATGCTGTTGCTGATGCTGATGCTGATGCTGATGCTGATGCTGATGCTGTTGCTGTTGCTGTTGCTGTTGCTGTTGTGTGTGTGTGTGTGTGTGTGTGTGTGTGTTTTCTCTTTTTTGTTTGTTTGTTTGTTTGTTTTTTTTTTTTTGATTTTTTTTTTTTCCTTTTTCTTTTTGCGGTTTGCTGCTTTCTTCCCCTATGCCACAGTTCACTTTTTTACCCGTTCTCAGTTTTGTTTCTCTTTCCTGTTCTCCACCCCCAGGGAGCTAGGTATAGTTGTGCCTCCTGGTGCTTCCAAGAAAGCATCCGGAGCAGTCGCAGCAGCAGCAGCAGCAGCAGCGGGGGCAGAGGAAGGGCTAGGGAGTGAAAGGGAGGCTGGGGGAGGGCCGAGAGCAGAACCAAAGAGCAGGTGCGTACGAGCGTTTATGCTCCTGCTTCTGCTTCTGCTCATGCCCGTGCCCGTACCCATGCCCATGCCTGTCAGTGAGCAGGCCCACATATCTATTTTCTTTTTGCCTGGGAACTAGCTTGCAGACTGTCACAGCTGACCCTTCTCCGTGACCTTTCTGTGTTGCCCGTTCCCAAACCTGTATCCAGGCTCGGCGGCGTGCCCAGGCCTGGTGCGCACGCAGCAACACGCAGGGTGCAGCGGAAACGAGCAGCGGCAGCAGCTGCAGCAGCAGCAGGAGGGGGAGACGACAAGGATGAAATTGATCCCATGGACCCATCTTCCTACTCCGATGCTCCCCGGGGAGGATGGTTAGTCTAATTCTAACGCTACCTCTTTGTTTCGGTTCTGCCTTTTATTTGCTCTTCTTTTACCCAGTAGTTCTTTTGGTTAGTAAAGTGAAAAAGAGAGCACTACTAGTGAGAGTATTTCGACTCCAGATGCCTGCCTGTGCGCAACTAGGCTCTTTCTTGTTCTCCCGTTGCCCAATTCTTTTTGTTAACATACCCTCATTTGCTCTCCTGGTTCTCCCCTGCCCCAACCCTCCCTCCTCTGCGTCATCTTAATGGCTGCTCTACTGCCAGGGCTGTGGGGCTGAAGGGACTGCAACCACGAGCAGCAGACACCACCGCAACGGTACGGTTTGCCGTCCGTGCCTCCTTCCTCTTGTCCCTTGCCTCTTCCCCGTGCCTCTTGCCTCTTGCCACTCACATCCTTTCTCTCCTCTCCCCCCTGTCACTCCCCACCCCAACAGGGTCCCCTGTTCCAGCAGCGCCCCTACCCCTTCCCCGGTGCTGTTCTGCGCCGCAATGCCGAGCTGACAGGAGCAGCCAACCTGTGCTTCACTTCACACCCAGCCGGCCGCCTCACATCCTTTCTCCCTTTCCCGCTGTGCTTCTCCCACCCCAACAGGGTCCCCTGTTCCAGCAGCGCCCCTACCCCTCCCCGCTCCCCGTGAATATCCCTTTCTCCTCCCTTTCCCCTGTCTCTGCTTCATCCCCTCCCCCCCCAACAGGGTCCCCTGTTCCAGCAGCGCCCTTACCCCTCTCCAGGCGCTGTTCTGCGCCGCAATGCTGAGCTGACAGGAGCAGGCGGAGCAGGAGGGAAAGGAGGAGCAGGGAAGGGCGGCAAGGCCGATCCGGCGGTGCAGGGCTATTCTGTGATCCGCAAGCGGGGCGACGGGAGTGACGGGCTCGGCGATGCTGATTAGGCGACTGTTGGGAGGTTGATTCGGCAGGTTCCTGTAGCTGTGGTTGATATGGGATAGGGGAGCAGGGAAGGGTGGCAAGGCTGGTACCACGGTGCAGGGCTGTGCTGTGATTCGTAAGTGATGGGCTGGGTGATGCTGATTAGACAGCGAGGCTGGTTGGGGCTTAGCAGGCATGTGTCGTGTGATGGGGTGGGTTGGAGGGAGGGCAGTGTGCGTTGGAGTACCTGCAAGTGTGGACACTGGAACAATTGGGTGGGGATTCGGGAATGCTGATTAGGTGATTGTTGAGTCGATTTAGAAATTAATGCTGGGTTGATTAGGGGCAGGGAAGCAGTGTAAGAAGAGGTGGGTTGCTTGCAGGTAGGATAGACTTCCCAGCTGCCGCTTTTAGTGAAGAAAATGCTTGCATTTTGACAACGCTGACAATGTCAGCGGTTTGTCTTGAATGGCGTACAATGTCGAACCACGAGATCTGTTGTTTTGTGATGTGCGGTGTGGATAATCGATGAGACGCACCGACATAGGGGGGATTCGCGGAGCCAATCGCAAGAGTCCGGTCATCACTGGTCCCGTGCTGTACACGCACAATTGTTGGGCGAGTGTTCAATGCGTGCGTGTAGCTAGCGAAGCAACGTGTACAAATCGCAATTTGCAACACTTCGGTTGGAGTGAGGAAAGCTTTGGCTGGGTCGTACCGGACGACACCCGGTTGCGTCTGGGTTGTCCGAAAACGACACCCGTATTTGCTGGGGAACACAGCAGGGCAGCCCGCAAAAGGGAGACCTCAAGACCCTCCACCTTACCAATCCAACCGAGCATAAGTCCAGACTCCAGACCAGATTCTAGATACCATTCTCGATAGTTTCCGCACGGAATCTAGTCCTGTGTTTTAGATCTGCTTGGGTAATATATCTTTTGCACCGAGGCCGCGCGCCGCGCGCTCCGGGGGTCTTTTACTCGGACGGTCATGGCTGCCACGTCGTGCGCGTCGCGAGTCGCCATCGCAGGAGATCGCGGTCTCGCGAGCGCCGGCGTTGCTATTCGTCCTCCTCACGTCGTCGCGTCGCGCTTTTCGTCCAGATCCGGCGCGCTGCGGAGTATTTTTTGGGGAGGAGAGTGCAAGCAGGTGATATCATGGCTGCATTGAGAGAAAGAAGATATTTTACTCCGGGAGTAAAACATGGCTTAATCGCCACCATGCGCGAATGTATCGGTATCGTTCAAGCAAGTCCATTCATCGTCAGTGTCGTAATGCGGATGTATTGCACAAGTAATGTATCGATAGGTTGGGAACATCGCCATCATATTGATGCTACATCAGCAGGGATAAACGGTTCGTTAGTCGCCACTTTATTGTTCGTTAATCGCCAATAAATTGTTCGTTAATTGCCAATATATTGTTCGTTAATCGCCATAAATTCTTCGTTAATCGCCATCATGCACGTCGACGTCATCGACACTCGAATGTTCTCAGATTCAGTCGTATCTTCTTTTGAGACGTCTCAAAATTCGGATCCAGTCGTCGTAGTATTTCCGGATTCATTCTCACCCTTTCGTATCCATTCGTACCTGGTTGAAAATAGCTTTTCAAAGCGCCGATCTCACCTCCACCGGTTTCCCCGCTCATTCTTCCCCCAACCAACAGCGAACCGCCTCCATCTCCGCATCTCCCCGCCGCCAAAGCGCCTTCTCCGCCTCCCCCCGCGCATCCGCGGACTCTCCGCCGGCGGTCGCCGCCGCTTCCGCTTCCGCCGACACGATCCCGCTTCTGACGCCGTACCAGATGGGCCCCTTCTCCCTCTCGAGCCGCGTCGTCTACGCGCCGATGACGCGGTGCCGCGCGCTGGGCTTCGTTCCGCAACCCGCGGCGGCGACCTACTACGCGCAGCGCACGGTGCCCGGGCAGCTGATCATCTCGGAAGCCACTGCGGTTGCGCAGGAAGGAATTGGGTAAGTGCGGAGAGAGGCGCGGGAGAGAGGCGCGGGAGAGAGGCGCGGGAGAGAGGTGCGGGAGAGAGGTGCGGGAGAGAGGTGCGGGAGAGAGGTGCGGGAGAGAGGCGCGGGAGAGAGGTGCGGGAGAGAGGTGCGGGAGAGAGGTGCGGAAATGCGAGGTGACTCTGAGTCGACTCTAAAGTCGCCTCGGTGCCACCGCTGTTGCGCCAGAGGCTGCTTGCGAGGTCCGGTGCCGGGGCAGCTGCTGTTCTCGGAAGCCACCACTGTTGTGCCGGAGAGAATGGGGTAAGTCGGGAAAGAGGCGCGGGAAAGTGGCATGTGAAAGAGGCGCATGAATGCGCCGCGAGAGTGAGTTGTGGGAGAGATCGCCGGAGAGAGACACGTGAGAGAGAGAGAGAAGAGTAGCTTTCCCTGCCTCCCCTGCTTCCCCTACCTTGCCCCGTCACCCCATCACCCCATCACCCCGTCGCCCCGTCGTCCCAGGTACCCGAACGTGCCGGGGATCTACTCGCGAGAGCAGGTGGAGGCGTGGAAGCCGATTGTGAAGGCCGTGAAGGACAAGGGCGGCGTCTTCTTCTGCCAGCTCTGGCACGGCGGCCGCGCCTCGCACCAGGGTGAGCATGGCAAGGGGATGAAATTATTTGGGGAAGCGTCGTCGATGCATGGGATATAAGAACCATGCTTGATACAAGGGAATCATAGTGCGATTTTACGAGTGAGAAGAGGCTGAGAAGGGAAGATCATATTGACGCGACTGCTGCTGAGGCCTGCTTTGAGTTGCTTTGAGTGACTCAAAACACACTTCAGAGTGAGAAGAGGCTTCTCAGGATGTCGAGGTGTCATTCCCTCTCTCTCTCTCCCCGACTCCTCCCTCCCCTCCCACCCCCTCCAGACTATCAGCCGGGGGGCGTCCTCCCCATCGCGCCGTCCGCCATCCCAATCACGTCGGGCGACAAGGTGTACACACACACGGGCGCGCACAACTACCCCACGCCGCGCGCCATGTCTGAAGCTGATATCCGCGCCGTGGTGCAGCAGTTCCGTATCGCGGCGCGCAACGCCATGGAGGCCGGCTTTGACGGCGTGGAGCTGCACGGTGCTAATGGTTACATCTTTGAGCAGTTCCTCAAGGTGGGGTGGGTGGGGAAAGGGTCAATCAGGTTAAAAGGATCCGTCAATCGGTTGACGGGGTCGGTCGGTCGATGGACGTTCGGTCAAGTTGGTGAGTCATTGGGTAATTTGATCATCTAGGTGCGATGAGGGCAAGGGGGACGGAAAGGAGTGATAGAAGGTGATAGAACAGGACCAATATTCGATGTCTTGATTTCCAATCCCCCTTCTCTCACCCACTCACCCCTCCCGCCATTCCTTGTTTGAACCCCTTCCTCCTCGCCCTCTTCCTGCCCTCAATGCCTTCACAATGCCATCAGCAACGACAACAAGCCTCACTCCCAGCACCCGTGCATTGATTGCCCACTTCCCCCCCAAGCAGGACAGCAGCAACAAGCGACCTTTGAGACATCTCAAAAGCCAACAAGCCTCACTCCCAGCACCCATCTACTGATGCCCTCCTCTCACCTCACCTCCCCCCCACCAGGACAGCAGCAACAAGCGCACGGACCGCTACGGCGGGTCCATCCCCAACCGCGCGCGCTTCCTCGTGGAAGTCGCATCGGCCGTGGCAGAGGAGATCGGCCCGCTGCGCCTGGGGGTGCGGCTGTCGCCATTCGCAGCGCTGCTATCAGCAGTGGACTCTACCCCGGTGGCCACATATGTGCATGCCACGCAGTGCCTTAATGACCTTGGAGTGCTGTACCTGCACCTCATAGAGGCGCGGCTCGACAGAGAAGGGGAGGCTATAGCTGATGGGGAGGTGAGTGGCTGCCTGGGGGGATGGACTGTGGGATTGGAGGGATTGGGTGGGTAAGTGGGTGGGTGGGTGGGAGGGTGTGTGTTTTTGGGTGCGTGTGGGTGTGCCTGGGCGCGCGGCTGTCGCCATTCGCAGCGCTGCTCTCGGCGGTGGACTCTACCCCCGTGGCCACATACGTGCATGCCACGCAGTGCCTTAACGACCTTGGGGTGCTGTATCTGCACCTTATAGAGGCCCGGCTCGACCGCAAGGGGGAGGCTATCGCTGATGGGGAGGTGAGTTAGTCTTGAAACTTCTCAAATGAGGCCCGGCCCGACCGAGAGGGTGAGGCTGTTGCTGATGGGGAGGTGAGTGGCTAGTGCCCGTGTCTGAGCAGGGGTTGAGCATGGTTTCAGTGGGTGGATTGGTGTGTCGGTGGGTGGGTGTGTTTGTTGCTTGTGCGGAAGAGCAACCCGTACACCATTCTCCCGTCTCTTTTCTCATTACCCGTGCTGCGGGTGAGTGTGTTTGTTGCTTGTGCTTGCAGTTCGTAGCGCTGTCTATTTTCAGGCGTTCAGAGGCGCCTCAGAAGCTTCCTGTGCCTTTTCTCTCTCTCTCTCTCTCTCTCTCTCTCTCTCTCTCTCTCTCTCTCTCTCTCTCTCTCTCTCTCTCTCTCTCTCTCTCTCTCTCTCTCTCTCTCTCTCTCTCTCTCCCTCTGTTCCTAACCAACATCGTCCTTGTACTCCTCGCTTGTGCTCCTCGCTTGTGCTCTCTTGTGCTTGCAGTCCCTTGAGCCGTTTCGCAGGGCCTTCAGCAACACACTCATCAAAGCAGGCGGACACACGGTGAGTGCCGAGGGGGTGCGGGATGAGTGCTATGGCATATATGGTGTATGGTTAGGTAGTGGTGATGCGTTTCACAATTTAGGGCGTCTTACAAACCTAGTTTTGCCGAACTTTAGCGTAAGGTAGTGAAACATTTCTTCATTTATCCCCCTGCCATCCCATCCCACCCCCCCTCAGCGCGAGTCCGGAAACGCTGCTATTGCCAGCGGAGCAGCTGATTTGATGGCATACGGTCGCCTATTCCTTGGCAATCCCGACCTGCTACGTCGCTTTGCCCTGGATGCTCCATTGAATCCCTATGATAGGGATACCTTTTACACCTTTGACCAAGAGAAGGGGTACACGGATTACCCTTTCTTAGAAGATGAGGCCTAGAGATGAGGGATGGATGTAGTAGCGCATGATTGGTTTGGGCTGGGGGCGAAATGGTGAGAGCAAGTTGTATGCGTACCTGGTTTGTTGTGAGTGCAGTGTCACTGAAGCAACAAATGCATACTGACGCAGAAGAAAAACCTCAATAACACACAAGCAGCAATAAAACGAATATTAAGGCTACTATCTTATGAGCATCCATAAGTTCCGCGCAGCAAGTCCATGGAATGTTGTATTCGTACAGTACAATGCTGCAGCGAATCATGTTTCTTGTGGGCAGAGTGTTACGAACTTGTGAGATACCGCGATAGAGCACGGTTCTTTGGAATAACAAAACGGTTTGCTGCATTTCCCTGTGTTCATTTCATAACTCGGCAATCCCAGGTTTGGCTTGGCTTGGCTTGGGATTCCCAAACCAACCCAAGCCATCTCTCAGCATATTCCATTTAGATTCCTCCCTGATACCTCGATACCTTTCACTAATATCTGAATGACCTTTTTCTGCATTTCAGATTTACTCGGATAATATCTTCGGCACTTTTCGTCAGCGTAGACCAGCAGCGCAAAAGCTATCCACTGACCCGCATTGGGGGCCCGTCCTGTATCTAAACCTCGCCTGCACGCCGCGCGCTCTGAGGCCCTCCTACTCGGACGATCATGGCTGCCACGTCGTGCGCGTCGCGAGTCGTCGTCGCGGGAAATCGTGGTCTCGCGAGCAGCGTTGCGCATCGTCCTCATGTCGTCGCGTCGCGCTGTTCTTCTATATCCGGCGCGCTGCGAAGTGATTTGTGGGGAGGAGAGTGCAAGCAGGTGGGAAAACTGCATAGAGATCCCGAGTGCATTCACTCGTCATTGCGATGGTAAAGATATCTCGGATATATTGGATGCTGCGTCATTGAAGCTGGGTTCTTGCATCAACATGACGCAACACCATTGATAGATCGATTCGCTATCACGTTCATCTCATCGTGCTTGTCCAGGCGTCATACATTTTCTAAACGTGGAAAAAAAAAAAAAAAAAAAAAAAAAAAAAACCCACTCAGATTTACTCGGATTCAATCGTATCCTTCCGTACCCATTCGAATGCAGCTTTCAAAGGCACCCTTCCAACAACCCTCGTCGCGGACTATTACTGGACTGACCAATCTCACTTCCGCCGACCTCCCCACTCGTCCATTCCCCCAACCAGCAGCTATTTACAACAATCTCCGCCTCTCCCCGCCGCCAATGCACCGTCTCCGCCTCCCCGCGCGCGTCCGCGGACTCCCCGCCCACGGTCGCCGCCGTTTCCGCTTCCGCCGACACGATCCCGCTGCTGACGCCGTACCAGATGGGCCCCTTCTCCCTCTCGAACCGCCTCGTGTACGCGCCCATGACGCGGTGCCGCGCGCTGGGCTTCGTTCCGCAACCCGCGGCGGCGACCTACTACGCGCAGCGCACGGTGCCCGGTCAGCTGCTGATCACGGAAGGCACGGTTGTTTCACAGGGAGGAATTGGGTAAGTGGGGAGAGAGCAGCGGGAGTGATGCGCGGAAATGTTTACGGTGTGGAATTGGAGGGATAGGTCGGTGGGGTCGGTGGAATCAGCTGATGATCACGGAAGGCACGGTTGTTTCACAGGAAGCGATGGGTAAAGCGGGAAGTGAGCAGCGGGAGAGAGGTGCGGGAATGAGACGCGGTAGCAGAATTAGCGCTCCTCTTGCCTCACCTCACGTGCCTCACCTCCCTCACGTGCCTCTCACATGCTCACCCCCCTTTCGCAGGTACCCGAACGTGCCGGGGATATATACGCGAGAGCAGGTGGAGGCGTGGAAGCCGATTGTGAAGGCCGTGAAGGACAAGGGCGGCGTCTTCTTCTGCCAGCTCTGGCACGGCGGCCGCGCCTCGCACCAGGGTGAGCATGGCAAGGCCCTCGCATCCCGGAGAGCAGTGAGATGGTGCGAAGGCACGGCGACCGAGCGTCTCACCAGGGTGAGAGAGAAGGAATGATGCGAGTGGACTGCTGGGTTGCGATCTGTGCGCCATTCCCTGCCGCTCTTCAAGCAGCATGCACCAGTCGACCATCCATGTTCCGAGACGTTTCAAAAATAGGCATCACGTTTCAACACTATCCAACCACAAGCTCTTCCTTCCCTCCCCCCTGCCCCCTTTTCCTATATTCCTCCCCTCCCCGTCCGCTCCCCCAGACTACCAACCAGGAGGGGCGCTCCCCATCGCGCCGTCGGCCATCCCCATCACGTCGGGCGACAAGGTGTACACACACACTGGCGCGCACGACTACCCCACGCCGCGGGCCATGTCAGAAGCGGACATACGCGCTGCTGTCCTGCAGTTCCGCGTGGCGGCGCGCAACGCCATGGAGGCCGGGTTTGACGGCGTGGAGCTGCACGGCGCATCTGGGTACCTCATAGAGCAGTTCCTCAAGGTGGGTGGGGTGGCGAGGCTGTGCAATGCAAGGGCATGGGCTGTAGGCGGCAGTTCCGTGGGACGGCTTCCGCAACGCCATGGAGGCCGGGTTTGATGGCGTGGAGCTGCACGGCGCATCTGGGTACCTCATTGAACAGTTCCTCAAGGTGGGGAACGGGGAGGGGGCTTAGTTGGTTCTGGAGGGGCTTCCGTGGGGCGACGACGGGAGCCTAGTTTGAGCTACATGGCACCTTTGGGCAGTTTCCTGATTGAGCAGTTTCATGACATGCATCTTTGAGGGGTTGATGGGATCTGCGTGCTGTCGAGCTGTTACATCCCTAACCCTAAGCTATGGCTGTCGATTTCCTATCGTCTTTCTCTCATCTCTCCACCCCTTTCCGCTCCCATCTTCGCCCCACCAGGACAGCAGCAACAAGCGCACGGACCGCTACGGCGGGTCCATCCCCAACCGCGCGCGCTTCCTTGTAGAAGTCGCATCCGCCGTGGCAGAAGAAATCGGACCGCTGCGTGTGGGCGTACGCCTGTCTCCATTCGCAGCGCTGCTGTCAGCTGTAGATTCGTCTCCCGTGGCCACATACGTGCATGCCACGCAGTGCCTCAACGACCTGGGGTTGCTCTACCTTCACCTCATAGAGGCCCGCCTGGACCGCAAAGGGGAGGCTCTTGCTGATGGGGAGGTGAGTGGCTGGCTGAGGGAGTGGACCGTGGAATTGGAGGGATTGGTTGGGTGGATGGCGGGGCAGGGGCTAAGCAGGGTGCGGGCACGGGCAGAGCAGGGTGCGGGCAGGGGCTGAGCAGGGTGCGAGCAGGGGCTGAGCTTTTTTTTAGCTGGTGGATTGGTGTGCGGGTGGGTGTGTTTGTCGCATGATCTGAGGCGCCTAAAAAATGCTCAAGAGAAAACCACGCAACATTCTCCCATGTGCCTTCTCTCTTTTCCTGTGCCGCAGTCCCTAGAGCCGTTTCGCCGTGCCTTCAGCAACACGCTCATTAAATCAGGCGGACACACGGTGAGTGTATAGATGCCAGAGATGTGGCATGGGGTGTGTGGTATTTGGTTAGTGGTAGTATGTACAAGCAGACAGCATCATGACCGCAGGTGGAAATACTGGGAGGTGTTGCTGGTGTTGCTGGTTGTTGGGTATGTTAAGCCTGCGTATGCAGTAGTGAATCAACTCTTCACCTCCGTGCCATCCCATCCCCCTCAGCGCGAGTCTGGAAACGCTGCTATTGCTAGCGGAGCAGCTGACTTGGTGGCATACGGCCGCCTATTCCTGGCCAATCCCGACCTGCCACGTCGCTTTGCGCTGGATGCTCCACTGAACCCCTATGATAGGGATACCTTCTACACTTTTGACCAAGCCAAGGGGTACACAGATTACCCATTCTTAGAGGAGACCTCAGGATGAGGAGGATGGATGTAGTAGTGTATCTGGGGGAGACATGATAAGCGGAAATTTTATGTTTCTAATTTATTGTGGATGCAGTATTGCTGTTGTAACAAATGCATAATGGCTTGAAATTATACCATCGGTTCCTTTGTCATCCCCTTGTGCTAAAGCAGTAAGTGGATGGAATGTCTGGGTCTTGTAACGAACACTTTTGCACCGAATCATATGGTTTGACGTTGGGCCACATTTTTGGTCCACCCAGCAGCATGTGATGATGATGGATGCCCAAACTTCCAAGGCACACACACCACATCCCAGAACGGCCATCCAGCCAGTCCACAAAATCGCAGATTTCGTGAAAGCACAGCACAGCGTTGAGACTTTTCCTGGTAACCACAGTTATCGAAAACCAATCTGTTGGTGCGACGATCGTCAGAACAACTAACCTAAACACAACGAAACACGGCAACGCGCTCCACTCCACTCCCTGCCCCATGAGATTTAATCCAGCCACGACGACACTGTACCCGAAGCCCGAACTAAAGTCCATCCCACTACACCCAACTAAACCGAACAAAAAACAAAACTCACCAAAACATATAGCATCAAACCACTCACAAGTTCCCCCAGTTCCCAAGGTCCGAAGTTTCCCCTACCCAACCAACCGCCATAGCTTCATGTCATCCTCTACGTTACTGTTTACCATCCGTTCTATTGTTCCATCACACAAGCGCATTTCACTGGAGCACCCACTGTGCATCCTTTCCGCTGCTATCTGCTCTGCACTGCTCTGCTGAACCAGCGGAACCACTCTGCTCGTTCACTTCCCGCCCACCCATGACATAACTCAAACACCAAATGTAACGCCACGTGTACGCGTCGTGGTGCCATGTCATGCTGCTCTCTCACTTTTCCCCAGGCTCTCTCGTCTCTCTCTCTCGCTCGCTCTTCCTCAACCTCCACCATCTCGACCTCGCCTCTTTCTTGCACGACTTTCGTGAAACATGTTTCGAAACTCTTCATCTCTCGCCAACCCTCATACTCTCCGTCCTCGTCACGACGACCAGTAGTAACACTCAATCGACGGACGGACGTTTCTGACAGCACATCGCCGCCATCTCCCAACGTCCCGCCTCGTTCCGTCCCATCGCTTTCCGTCCCGTCTCTTTCCGTCGCCCCTTCGCCAAGCGCCTTTCACGGCCAGCGCTAGAAGAAACTGGATTTGGTGCGAGGTTGCACGCGCAATCACGGGTGCATCCGCCATGCATCCGTCCCGAGTCAGCACGCACGTGCCGCACGGGGAACCCCACGTGCCGTACGGGGAAACCCACGTGCCGTACGCACCAGTCGGGCCCTATTTCGAGCCGTCTCAACTTCAGAACTGCACGCATAACCCTACCTATTGCGAACAACCGGTGTCGCATGAGCCGGGTAACCCTACCCATCGCGATCAATCGCCTTCGCACGAGCGACTTCGTCCGAGTAGCCGATCGGTTCGCCCGTCAAAGAAAGCTCTGAATAGCGATAACCATGGCGACTCTTATTCTTCTCACCGCAGGCCCGCCTATCCCCGCGGGAACTCCATAGCGGCGACTGAATCCTCTCATCGTCATCCTTCCGCTGATCCTCATCCTTATCCGGAACCTCACTCCCGCCATTCCCCGCAACAAATCCACCGCAGCCGGAGCGACTCGTCCACTTCCCCCGGGGCTCATTCCGCCACCGCTTTCCGCCCCCCTTCCGCGCACACATGCCTGCGCGCGGACGTTTCCGCCTCCGGCTCCGCCGTTGACTCCGCCACCAAGGTCCGGCTTCCGCCCGGCGAGGCCGCGGCGCTGCGGAGGAACCTTCCGCCGATCCCCGGACTGGCGGAAAGTTTGCGCGGCGGCGGAGCTGGGGGGCATGCGGGGGAGGGGGAGGGGGATGGCGCGCGGATGGCGTGGCAGGTCCGCGGAGACGCTGGATTTAGCGCGGAGTTCGAGGAGATGCGGCGGCGGCGGCATGCGCAGCGGCTGGCGCAGGAAGCGGAAGGCGCGGGGAACTCGCAAGCGCAAGCGCGGGGAATACTAGCGAGCGTGCGGGAGCCGAACGAAGCTGGCGCAGCGGTAGTTAGTAATAGGGAAGAGAAAGTGTCAATTTATGTAGACGCAGGGGACTCAGGTTCAGGTTTAGAAGCGTTTCGCAAATACGAGAGTAGTGTGGGAGGGTACGGCGTGGGATACGGCGTAGGTCACGGCGCAGAGCACGGCGCAGGGCACGGGGAGAGAGGTAGAAGCGCGAGTGGAGGGGCCGATTGGGGGGCGGCGGAAAGGGAAAGGAGAGAATGGGGGGATGGGGGGGAAGCACCTGGCGTGGCTGAAAGACGGGGAAAAGAGGGAGTTAAAAGTGGAGGAGATGAGATGAGGAGCTATGAGTGGAATAGGGAAGACGGGAGGAGAGAAGAGGGGAGGAGAGAAGAATGGAGGGGAGATGATTGGAGGAGAGAAGAGGGGAGGAGAGAAGAGGGGAGAAGATTTTCTGGATTAAGAGTGGAGGATGGTCGGTTTGGAGCGGTTGAGACGTTTGGAAATGGTGGAGGGGAGGGTATAAACGTGAAGATTGGCAGGGGAGCAGAGAGCGGTCGTGGAGGTTTGCCGATAGACGCAGGACAGGCGGAGGGAATGGGACGAAACATGTCGAGAGGAAGCAAGGTGAGAGGGGGAGGAATGGCGGGATGGGGGAAAAGGGGTGGGCTGGAGGTACAAAGGGGACTTGAAGGGGCGACTTAGGTTTTTTTTTTCTTTCTTTCTTTCTTTCTTTCTCTCTCTCTCTCTCTCTCTCTCTCCCTCTCTCTCTCTCTCTCTCTCTCTCTCTCTCTCTCTCTCTCTCTCTCTCTCTCTCTCTCTCGAATGGCCCTTTCATTGAGTGATACAAGGTCATACAGGCATGCACGGAGAATGCTAAACACGGAGAGGTCTAAAACATATCTCTCAAACTACGCGCACCTAAACTCTACCCCCCCCCCCCCTCTTTAAGCTAGGTCCAGAGCCGGATCCAGGACCGAGAGGCAGTCCCCTAGGGACGGGGCCTCCCCCACTGGCTCTAGCAGTGGGTTTTCTATGGCAGCTGCTATGCTGCACTTTTCTAGATAGCCAATCGACTGCCCCCTTTGAAGAGCCACCGACCACCGCTGCCGGTATTGGTGTAGAAGCTTGGCAGCTTGGTAGGAGGTGGGCTCGGCGTTGAAGAACCGCCTTGCAGCTGTATCCGCGAGCAGTTTCAGGAAGTCCACTGTTTCTGGGCATGGGCACCCATACGTCTCGACCGCTAGTGGGAAGAACTTCACCCACTCCGGGCGGTCCGTGTACAAGCCGTGCTTCTTGTCTGCAGCTTCTCGTGCCGCCCATCCCCGCCCCTTTGATGCATTCTCGTCGCGGGTGCTGATGGGGTCCGTCACCGTCACATCACAGATGTAGACGGCGCCGGTGGAGCGGCATCGTAAGGCCAAATCCGCCTTCTTCTCCTCCACGGGGCTAAAAGCGGCTGTTTCTATGTGTACCATGAATCCAGCATCTCGCGCCATCCGTGCGCACTCGTCCCGTAACTCATTATGTGTGTTTGTGCGCCCCCCCCCCCCCCCCCCCCCCCCCCCCGTGCCGCAGCGTAGCAGGTGGTTCGGTAGCCGCTTATCTGGGATCTTCACCTTCTTTGAACAGTTGCAAACCCCTGGAGCAGCGAAGGGGAGGCCCAGCCGGAACTGGACCGCGTTGGCATAGTGAGGGGCCTCTAGGCGTAGCGAGGAGTGGATGGGCACGGCGTTTAACCAGTCCCCAGCCCCGTACCCTGACAGGGACAGCAGCCGCTGCGTGTGGCCGTTGTTGGGGTTTGGCCTCATCCCCCGTGCCTCCTCCACCTGCACTGCATAGCGCTGGCCCTGGATCGCCGTGGCCAGGCCGTGCTGCAGCTTCCCCGCGGTTGGAGCTGTTCTTTCTGCTTGCAGGGCCTCTTGCGCCGGCAGGGGGAGCTCCTCCTCACAATCCGCTAGCCATTTGGTCAAAGGAGAGGACCGTGTGTATGGGCCGCGCATCAGCTCACGTGTAGCGTCCAATGGGCCGATGCGCTCGCCATCCAGGGAGTCGAGCAGCAGCTGCGCCTGCGTGTAGCTGGCGAGGAAGCTGTAGCCTCCTTCCACGGTGGGGTCAGTCAGGCCGAGCCCTCCCAACGACACGGGGAGAGAGGCTTGCGCCCACGTGCGTGAAGTTTCCTTTCCGCGCGGGTGATTGATGCCGCATGCCGTCAGGAGCGTTTCCAGCAGCCTCCTTCCCCATTCTGACCACTCCTCCTTGGGCAGGGATGGCAGCGGCGTTGTGCGGGCTAGGTAAGACACTCGGCGCGAGATGCACCGAGAAAGCAGTAGCCCAGCCAGCTGAGGCTCCATCTGCTCAATCAACCCCAGAGGCGCTCCCATTGCCTCCAGGCTGGATCGCACAAAGGCTGAGGTGGCCGTGGTGGTGCCGACGTAGCTCCCCAACACCTTCAAGCCGTCATGACTTGGGGGAACTCCTTCAGGTAGGTGTACTTCTGTGGGCGGCCCATCTGACCATGCCCCGCACTTTGCAGGGTTGTGCCAGGCGGCTCGTGAAGTTGTTGAACGCTGCGGCACATGACGACGGTTCTCCCAAAAAGGTGACGTCGTCTGCGTAGGCAAGGCAGATGACATCTGGATGTGCCTCTGCGGCTGCCTTCAGGGCTGGGTGCATGGCCGCGGCAAAGAGAAGGGGGCCGAGGGGATCCCCCTGGCGGACTCCCGTCTCGCTGAGCAGGGGCGGGTGATTGAAGGCCGCGTCCAGATGCAGAGTGGACGGCTGGCCGTAGGAGAAGTGTACCAGTGGCAGCAGCGGTTCAAGCTTCGAGCCTTTCAATGCCGACGCTATGGCGTGGCGATCGACACTATTGAAGGCGTTCGCCAAGTCGGCCTGTAGGACCAGCGCGTTTCTGTTGGCCGCGGTGAAGGTTCGTACGACGTGAATGACCGCTTCCGCTCCTCCGAGGACAGCCACGCCGAATTGCAGAGGTAAGAAGAACTCTCGCGCAGCTTCTGCTAGCTGGGAAAGCGCGGCCTTTGCTGCTATTTGGAGGATACACTCGCCTATGGCAATCGGCCTGGTTCCTCCGTCGGGCTTGTCGAGGGCAATCAACCGCGATGCAGTGAGGAGCCGCCCTACCTCCACGCCCAGCTTTCCGGCAAGATGGTGTTGACTAGCGCGTGTAGGTGAGTGCTGACTTCAGTGTGCATCAGGGCTGCTTCGCGCAGGTGCTCGAACGTCGTGCCTGAAGGGCCCGCCCCTACCCCATTCTCGCATTTGGAGAGAAGCTTCAGGAAGACTTCCCGTGAAACTGACAGGTAAGAATCTGGTTCGGGTTGGGGCCACGGAGTGTCAGGGCGCTGGGCACTTGGGTGTTTGGCGCGCAGGGAATCCAGAACCTTAGGGGACGGCGTGCTGACTGGCGTGGCTTCAAGTGCCATAACGGCCCTCCTCAGACTGCCACGTCGCGCCAGTCCTTCAGCTCTGGAGATTTTCCCCAGGTTGTCTGGCTGATGCCTTGGGGGGGGAGGGAGATTGAGCGAGTCCACTGTCTCCTGGTACAGTGATTCCCACTCCCCTTGCAGGAATTTGCGCAGACGATTTTTGGTGGCCTTCCAATCAGGGTGCTTTGGTGAGTGCTGACGCAGCGTCAGGCGAGCGGCAAATAGCAGCACAGTCCAGGCTTGGGTGGAGTCAGGGTCGCGGGCGAGGCGCAACAGTGGCGTCAGGATAACCATTGCGAAAAGAAGGCGGAGTTTTTCTGGCAGGCGACGTGCCAGAGGTGAGTTGCGACTGTCGCGAAGCAAATCTAGGTCCCAGTCAGTTACGCATGCAAAAAGCGTGTCGTCCCTAGCGAGGGCCTCTGGCGATTTTTGGGGGGGCGGTTGTGTCTGTTGCTGGTTACCCCTCGCCACCGTACGTGGTGCAGTGGCAGGTGCCGATGTCAGGTTTAGAATGGCGGGCTGGTTGGCAGTGGTGGCGGGGTTGGCAGGGGTGGTTCGACGCTGTGGAGAGGGTCGCGGCTGGGTGGGTGTAATGTGGAAATTCGTTGACGCGCTTCGGGCGTGGGTTGCGATCGTTCTCTGCCGAGCAGGAATTTGTGAGTCAGCCTCTTCAGAGGCATACGAACTTGAGTCCACGCCATCTTCCTCCGCCGCATAAATACTCCCCGAAACAGCTTCAACTTCATTAGCTTCTCCCAACGTAATTAAAGCCCGCCTTGCTGCCGCCTGGAACGCGTTCTCCGGGCCACCTTCTCGCGCACCTCTGCCGCGCCCGCGACCTCCGGCGCGACCTCCTCTCGACCGCGCGCTGGCCGCGGCCTGCTGAGGGCCTCCTCGATTTCCTTCCCCCGCGCTCTGACGCAGTCGTGCGTCCTCCAATGCCTGCTGCCGACGCGTTCGCCGCGATGGTGACAGAAGCGGCGAGGTCAGTGGTGGACCAAGGGCACACCGCTGAGAGCGTGCTTGCTCCACCCCCGGTCCTGCTGTCCCTGCCGTCCAGGCTCCTGCCGCTCCAACTGCTCCCGTGGATCCGCCCGCCGCCGCTGCGCCGCCGACGGCCCCAATCCTGATGGCGTCTGCTCCCCCGCCAAACCCCCACCTCCTCTCGGTGCTCTCGCCCCTGGTGCGTCCGCGCCTGTGGCGCCGCAGGCGCCTGCGGCGTCACCACCTGTCCAGGCTGCTGCTGGTGTCCCTGCGCAGGGGACAGCGGCGGGCGCCGCCCACGGCCCCGCGCAGCAGGTCGCTCCTGCGTTTGCGCCGGTTCAGCCCGTTGCGCAGCAGCGCGCGGAGTCAAACAGTCGCGGCGCTGCTGGAGGCAGTGCGGCGGCGCAGCGGGGGCGAGTTTCTCCTCGGCGTCGCCCCTCCCCCTCGTACCGGAATGCGCATCGCGGAGGCCGCGGTGGCTGGTGGGGAGGTCACGGTCGCGGGCGTGAGGCGCCAAGTGAGATGCAGCAGTTGCGCGACGAATTCCCTGGCATGTTGGCCTCGGCGATGCGCGCGGCTCTGAGCAGTGCGCCGACTCCTGGCAGCTCGCTGGCTGCTGCTGCTGCACCGCACTCTCCTGCTCCTGCGGCTGTCCCGGCTCCCCTTGCTGCACACGCGGTTCCTGCGCCGAGTGCTCAGGCGTACCAGCAGGGACCAGCCGCGCCTCGCCCTGTCTCCGTTGCCCCATATCCTCCTCTTCCATGGATTCCCCCCGTTCCGGGCACGGGATTTGTGGGAGCGGGAGGCGGAGCGGCGAGGGGGCCATTCCGCCATCCGCGACGTGTTGACGAGGCTGCGGCTGCCCCTCCTCCGCCAGCTCTTCCCGTTCCTGCCGCGGCGAGGCTGACCGGGACTGCTGAAGTGCCCACGGCGACCCTTGCGCAGCTATGGCGCTTGGTGGAGTGCCACCAGGCCCTGACACAGATTCTGGTGAGCTCGCACTTTGCCATCCTCCGGAACCCAGGGAGCACTCTCGATCCGATGGCGCGAGCTGATTGCATGGCAGCAGCCACGCAGCTTGCCTTCCTCCTGCTACCCGTGCTGGGAGCGCCCGCGCCGGGAGGCGTTGCGGTAACGCAGCTGGACGCGACTGTCCAGGATCTGACTGGACACCTCCGCGATGGAGGCGCCGTTGAAGCTCTTGGCGCGACCGCGTTAGTGGTCCGCCAGATGTGGAGGACCATGCGAGGGATCCTCGCGGCTCTAGACGCCCATTTGATGTAGGTTGTGGCGCCCGCCGCACGTAGACATGCTGCATCTTGTTTGTCTAGATGTTGCTTGTGTAGTCTGCCTCCATTGTGTCTTGCGTGTCGTTTGTGTCGTTTCCTGAGTTGTTGCTTGCCACCCGAGAGCACGCGGCCGAAGGCCGCGCACGCGAGCGCTGGAGAAATGACCCCAAAGGCGCGAGCGCCGAAGAAAAACTGGCACCAAACGAACTAATGGCAGAGAAATGACCCCAAAGGCCCTATATATAGCTAGAGGGCAGAGGCAGAGGCTAGAGGCAGAGGCTAAGTCCTCTCTCTCTCTCTCTCTCTCTCTCTCTCTCTCTCTCTCTCTCTCTCTCTCTCTCTCTCTCTCTCTCTCTCTCTCTCTCTCTCTCTCTCTCTCTCTCTCTCTCTCTCTCTCTCTCACACGGGAGAAATGGAAGGAAGGAAGTGGTCAAAGGACGGATGAACAGCGAAGGGAGATTGGATAAGAGTTGGGGTGGCAGTGGGAGGGAGGTAGGGTGTGTGACATTAAACCGAGGTGACTTTCGAGTCGACTTGGAATCTAAAAGGGTGGAGGGGGGGAGATTGGATACTAGTGGGAGCGGTAAAGGACCGGGGGGGGAAGGAGGGAGGAAGGGAAGGAGGGCATGTGGGAGGCAGGGAGTCAGCATGATTCTAGTCTCTATTCACTTCCCTCCATCCGCTTCCAGCCATTCATATTCCTTAACCCCATTTCTTCCTCTTCCCCTCCTCTTTCCCTCTTTCCCTCCTCTTTCCCGTTTTTTCCCTCCGCTTTCCCTCAAGTTTCCTCCTCATCCCTCCTTTCCCTTCCAACCCTTTCCTTCCGCCCCCTCCGCCCCCTTTCCCTCCCTCTGTCTGTACAGGTCGTGGAGTTCCAGTTACCTCTATCAGTCCCTTCTCTCCACCCCCACGACGAGCCCGCCACACCCTCTCTCGCCCACCCTCCCTCCCGCCCTCCCAGATCCCCCTCACCTCCCCCTCCTCCCACTCCGCCCTTCCCTCTAAACCTACCCCCAGCCCATTCGGCCCACCACCCCCCGCGCTCCCCCATACCGCACGCCGTAACAGAGCCACGCCCGCTCTCCCGCCCCCAGTCCCGGCACACCTCCCCCCTGCGCTCCTCCTCCCCCCGCCTCCCGCCCAGCATGTCTCTCCCAGATGTGCCCATCCCCGCATCTCTTTCCGATTGGGCAGCACAAGCAGCCCATGAGCGTCCCGTTGCAGATCTGTTTATCGACCCCTTGCCCCCCAACTCTTCCCTTTCCTCCCCGTCCCCAGACTCCCCTCGTTCCCTCGTTCCCCTCGTTCCCCTCGCTCCCCCCGCTCCCCCCGCTCTCCCAACTATCCGCTCGGCCTGTACGCGCCTCCTCCACTACACTCCCTACGCTCTGTGCATTCCCTGCACTCTCCGCCTGCTGCTGCTTCCTCCTCCTCGTCTCGTTTATCCTTGGGACTCCAAGCAGCAAGCCTGTCGCCATCCTCGTCATTCGCAGCGGTAGTAGCAGGAGGAGCAGGAGCAGGAGAAGCAGCAGGAGCAGCAGCAGAAGCAGAAGCAGAAGCAGAAGCAGAAGCAGCAGCAGAAGCTGCAGATGCAGAGGGGGCAGCAGAAGAGCAGTCAGGTCCCCTCTCGCCCTCGTGCATGGCGGGACCCGCCCTGCCCTCCTTTTCCAGTGTTATGTCTGCCGCAAGCGGTGAGACGTTCTCACAGGACTTTAGACGGTACCAGCAGCAGCGATCCAATAAGAATATCGGTGCTCCTCTAAAGTCAACTGCGCCTCTGAAGTCAACTGCGCCTCTGAAGTCAACGCCCGGCCTCCCGTCCTTTTCCAGTGTCATGTCTGCTTCTACTGGCGAGACGTTCTCACAGGACTTTAAACGGTACCAGCAGCAGCGGTCCAAGAGCAAGGAGCAGGAATGGGGGATGGAAGCTGAGGGGATGGGTGAGGAGGGGAATGGGGAGGGGGGTGGGGTGGAAGGCAGGGGGGAGAGGGATGAGAAGGGTGTGGAGGGAGGAGGTGGAGGAGAAGATGGGGAGTGGAGTGGGGAGGGGCTTGTGGGTGGTGTGCCTCTCGCTCTGCTGAAGGCTCGTGGTGTGTCGTTGCCTTGTGTGCGCGCACCTAAGGTTCGAGGGGAGGACGAGGGAGAGGGGGTGGGGGTTAAGGCCAAAGGAGGGGTTAAGTTAAGGGGGCGCCAGAGTTGGAAGTGGTGGTGGAAATGAGGACATGGCAATCGGCATTTCTTATTCTTTTCAGATGGTGTGTTTATTGTTGAGATGGATAGAATGACAAGTAGCCCCAATTGATTGAAAACACTGCATTAGGCTTCAGCCAGCTGTTCCTTTGGTACCGGTATCGGTACGTTGCTTTATGGTTAAGTATGATGTGTCAAGATACACGGAACTTAATGTTTCTGTTTTTGTGGATGTAGATTGCCATTCCACTGCTGGTGCAATTTCGAGTCACATACTACCGCCCCGCCACTCCGCTCCACTGCTTTTTTCTTAGGTGAATCTCGCGTGATGGCTTGTTTGGTGCGCGTGATTGGGTGGGTGTCCATCACTGTGCATCTTCTGTACGTTCTTTGCGGTCTAATTCGTTTCGTCATGGTTGAAAACGGTAAACATACAAAACAGTTATCAACCGTGTGGAACCGTCTTGAACCACGAAGCGTGAGCTGTAGGTCTTTTTTCCAAACATCGCCTTATCACAGTACTACCTGGTGCTGCTGGTTGATGTGTGGTGGTGAGTGATGGAGTAGCTGACCACTCGGTAACGAACATCACTACTCAAAACCGCTCATTATCAACCGGCCAACAACCTCGATTTCACATTTCAATCACCACTCGGCTTGGTCCTTCCTATTCACCACCACAGCTGGTGCCAGATATATTTCTATGGCACCAAAGGTGAGAGAGAGCGAAAGAATTGCGTCTACCGCAATCAGTCGGTGAGTGATGCGACGGCGTTTTAAATGAGACTACCGTAATTAGTCGGTTATGAATAATGTGCCGAATCTGTTTCCCCTTTCACGCTTGCGGCGACGCTATTGCCTGACCCACCTGACGAACGCCTGATCGATGGAGCCTTTAGGGATTGCCGCGAAGACCGGAGCTTGATCAGGGACATCAAGCTCTCGTGAAGCTTAGTTAGGGACTAATTAATGACTGGCAATAGCTTTTAGCCTGTCATTGTCGCTGTAGGCGTGATCGCATACATCGTCGCATACGTTTCCGCGGGATCGCAAGCATCGCACCGGGATCGCTGAGGGTTTCTTTTGGTATCCTCCTTTCGTTTCCTGGTGCGATCACCAGCAACCTTCATCGCTGGCTGCAGCATGGTTCAGGTCAGTTCCATTGTCTCGTCTTTACTTCCTTCCTTCCCCCGTGCACAATGACTGAGTTTCCTTCACAATCGACTCGTGGCTAAAAAGGAAAAAGAAAGATTTTCTCCTTGATTTGTATACGGGGGAAGAGTATTATCTGCCTGATGCAATTTCCACCGTATTTTATTCCCGCCGGCAGAACGATCCACGTCAGCGCCATTTTACCGTCCACCCTTCCTCCGTATATGCAATTGAAGCCGCGATACAGCTTCCGCCCATCTGGTCCCCGTCTGCTCTTCTTCCGTACGGAATTTTCCGTCATTGAACATTCCGTAACCCAGCCTTTCTCCCCTCCCTCCCCCTCCTTCCTCCCCCAACCCCTTCCTCCCCCCGGTCAGCATCCCATACCCCGGCTGCGCAGTCTAGCAGAAAAACTCCGTCTACCGCCCGCCGCGCTGCCATGGGCTCTTTTATCCCTAACCGCCGTCGTGCTCATGCTCCTGGGGTCGCTCTGGACGTCCCAGCAGACCTCCGCGCGCCACGAGGAGATCGTGTCGCAGCTGCTGCGGGAAAAAGAGGCTCTTAAGCTTAACTTTGACGAGGTGATCACCAAGCGCTCGCACGGACAGGCGGAATTAGACGGGCTTCGGCAGCAGGTGGCGAATCTAACGGAGGAGGTGGGAAGAAAAACAAAGGAAGCGGCGGAGCTGGCGGCGAAAGCGCAGCAGTTAGCGGCCGATCTAGACAAGGCTAAGAAGGACACGAGCGCGGTAGACGGGTTGAAAAAAGACATGGAGGAGCAAAAGAAGAAGCTTACGGAAGAGCAGCAGGCGGCAGCTGCGAGAGCAGCCAAGGCGGAGGAGGAAGTGAAGAAATGCCGAGATGAAGCAGCAGCGAAGGAGAAGAAATACGTAACGGACGTTCGCGAAGGGAAAGTTGCTCCGCCAGGAGCGGACGAAATCGCGGATCTGCTAGAACTCTCCGCGAACCTCACGCAGCGGGTGCTGAAGCTGGAAGGCGAAGCGATCGCGGAGAAGTTTCAGACGGAGGCGAGAATAAGGACGATGTTAGAGCAGGCGGTCGGGAGCACCGCGGCGTACCCGGAGGCGCTGCGGCAGGATTTAAAGACCACGCGCGACGCGTGCGTGCGCGCGGGGTACGCGTCGACGGAATTAAAACGGACCGTAGCGGATCTCTCTATATACAAGCACAATCAGAACGTCGCGGCCGCTGCTGCTGCTGCTGCGGGAAAGACCGGGGGAGCAGCAGCAGCGGCGGAAGGGGAGGAGGAGCCCGCAGGGCCGCTGGCTGTATGCAGATCAGCGCGATGCAAAGCGACAGACGAGGAGCTAAGTCGGTTTATGAACTACACGGAGAAGGAGGTTTGCCCAGACGACTGGTTCTTCGTCCAGGAGCTGATTTTCGACCGTGGCTGCCATTGCCTGCCGCGGCGCCGCTGCTTCGCAGCTAATTTCACTGGGTTTCAGGACCCTATGCCGTTCCCAAACGCCCTCTGGAACGAGAGTGCGCTTATGGACACCAACGTCAACTGGGAGCACCACGCGTGCAAGTCGTTTGCTTGCTTGAAATCCGGTCCGGGGCAAGTGAATGACTGTAAGGACTGCTTTAATCTAGATGTGGAGAAGACGAGGTGGAAGGGGGGATCAGGGGGACTATTTCCATGGAAGAAGTTTTCCATCTGACCAACAACACTCTCCGCATCGGATTGGACATTGGCGGCGGCTCGGGCAGTTTTGCTGCCCGGATGCAGGAATTCAACTGCACGGTGCTGACCACAGGAAGAACTGGGCCAATCCGAAAGAAAAAAACTCCACAGAGCCAACCGGGGTGCCTTATATGGAAGCAGTGGCAGCGCGAGGGCTCGTGCCACTGTATCTTCCCTTCTCGGCGCGGTTACCGTTCTATGACAACACGATTGATGTGATTCACACAGGCACGAGCATCAACGACGTGGATTTCGAGGAGTTTGAGGAGATGTTTTACGACTGGGACCGCGTGTTGCGGCCGGGCGGGGTGATCTGGTTCGACTTGTTTTACTCCCAGGTGAGCGGGCCGGGCCAGCCAGGGGTCTTGGTGGGTGTGTGTGGGTTTTGAGGAGATGTTCTATGTTCTGGGACTGTGTTCTGAGGCCTGGTGGGATGATCTGGTTCGATTCGACCTGTTTTACTCCCAGGTGGGTGGGCCGGGCCAGCCGGGGGGTTGGTTGGCGTGGGTGTGGGTTTTGAGGAGTTTGAGGAGATGTTTTACGACTGGGACCGCATGTTGCGGCCGGGATGTGTCATCTGGTTCGACCTGTTTTATTCCCAGATGGGTGGGGCCGGGCCAGCCAGGGGGGTTGGTGTGCGTGGTGTGGGGTTGAAAGGGAACAGAGGAACCACATGGTGCAGGCAGGTGTGGATTGGTGGAGTGAGCACAGTTGGGCCGTTTGTTCTTTCTTGCCAGTTGAGTGGTGGGCTGGAGTGGGTAAAAGGGTGGGTTGGTTAGAGGGGGACGAACGGACCACATAGTGTTTACATGTGGGGTGGGAGTGTGTGTGGAGGGTACTAGTTGTTGGGGACTCGCGCATCACAGCACAATGCACCATGAGATCTGCGCTGGACGCATAAGACAGTGGGAGTTAGGAGTGGCCCGACGATATGGCCGTGGGGAAGGGCTGGGTTGAAGGGGAGGTGGAGAGTCAGGGTTTGGGGTTTTAAGGGGAGGGTTTTTTTGGGTTTTGGGCTGCTTGGGGCTGTTGGGAAGCTGGGAAGGCGTGAAAGAAGGAGATTCCATTTTCTTAAGTGTGCTTAAGGTACTGGTAATTATCTGAACAGCAGCAACTTTAGCTTCACCTGCTTGCTGCCTTTCCTGTCCTGTCAGCTTCTCGTTCCCCAAAGCTTTTGCCTCATCCCCGTGTGTTTGTCACGCGCAACAGTAGTAGTGCCGTGGTTCCATCTCCTCTTCAATTCTGTGTCCTCTCTGTGTCCTTCGTATCCTGTAATGCTTTGCCGCTGCAGGTGCGCAAGATGCCGCTGTACATGGAGATAGTAGACATGTTTAAGTACGACCAGCTACACCGCGCTGTAACGCCGTCTCTGGGCGCTGCTGGCCTTTACGTGCACATGAGCTTCGTACTGCAGAAGCCACGTCAGAGAGATTTCACCCTTCCCCCACCTGAACCGTTCGAGTGAATGGGTTTTAGGAGGCTGGGGAAAGAAAGCATGGGAAAGGGAAGTTGGTGGCACAACAAACTGGAAAGAAACGAGGATAGGTGGAGAGAGGAAATAGTTATTGGATTGTTGGTCATATGCTGGCCATATACTGATTATGGAAATGCTCATCTGATTTTAAGATGTGCGCCGTATTTCCGGATGGTGTGTATTGAAATATAGACATGCGTCTCTAACCAAGTCTGGGATGAGATGCTAGAAGAGTAGTTGTGTTAGGAATAACGTTAATTTTTCTAGTAAAGTAGTATCGTGTGCTGGTTACAGTAATTTCGTGCATGAACTGGGATGTTGCTCGTCACACCAAGAGCTGGAACAGCGTGGCCAGGCGTGACGGATCCGCTGGACAGATCTGCCACGTCACTCTAGTTGATGCTCAAGACGCTCGCACACGTACCCGGTAGAGAGCATGCCACGTCCCTAAATCGATTCCACAAGGAAACGTAAGCCTCTGACACGTGCGCTCGTGCTGGCTTTGGACCACAATTCTCCCCCCCTAGAACTGCATCCTCTGCCACGAGAGGGTCTGCCTCCGTGGCCCGGAAACCTCAAGACTGGAGACGTTTTGACTCCACGAACCAGATGAATGGTACACTCCCATCCAACAGCTGCCACGTCGGCATCAAAATTGTCTCAAGATGGTTTCGCTCTGCGAGGTTCTGCTTGGTGAACGTATCACTCCGACACCTGCTCGCGGAAGAACCTCCACAGCACAATTTCGCACACCCTCCTGGGGCTCGGGGGTCAACTGGGGCCAGATATTTGAAAACTGAAAGGTGTGATCCCACAGCTGAGAGCAAGTTTCCGTCACCATTCCGTCGCGGAATCGCCGGTTCAACTCGCTCTTTTACTGGTGCGCAAACGCTTTCCGCTTCGGCCTCTGGTTTTGCGTGTTCTGTTCGCCATTTGTGCTTGTGCGAAACACTCTAGGTTCCCGCCACAAACAACTTTTTACTGCCGTAGTCGACACAGCCATAACAAGCCTGCCAGCCAAACCGATCTTTCACTGCTGCATTGCCTGTTTCTTTATCCTGCCTGCAGCAGCTCAGAATTTGGTCGCTTCTCCCGTAGTGTGAAGCAGCCTGGGCTACACACTTTTCACGGCCCGCTAGGAATAAGCCTGTCCACGTCGCTCAACTGATCTCCGGAAAAGCCGCTGTCAGTAAACCGCCGTTCTCGCCATACTGAGTCATAGCCTCCGTGACTCGCGTAGGAGAATATTAGAGTCGGCGAGACACAGTGTGCACTTGAAGCTGTGAAAGACATTAGGTGTCTTGTCTTCTATCGTGCAACTGTAGGCGTCAGCGTCTCACATTTTGCTGACAGCTTGTCCAATCAAGAAGCAACCCTGCAATGGCTTCCATATCAGTATCAGTGGGATCAGCCCTTCCAGTGAGGCAATCTGACTCTATCCTCTGCTCACAAGGCGTCGGCCGAGGGTCCGAATCAGCAGACATAAGGCGAGTGGGCCTCTCCGCGTGGGACAATGGCTGTGCCGGAAAGAAGCTCCCTTTGGCGGCATCCCGGCTGTTGCGACAGAGCCGATCCAAGAGCAGGACTGTCGCTCGTGTCACCCCAACTCTCTCATCTGCTCAACCAGCTCCTTCCCTAGGTATGTTTCGTGCATTGACAAATTGCATGTTGTTTGTTCAAGTGTAGAATCTGAAAGCTCGTGTTGTCCCGTTTCCAGTGCATTCAGTAGTCAGTGACTCAGCAACTTCTTGTTTCGTCTTGTGTCCCTCCTTTTTGTTAAACTCCTTTCCAAGTTTACTTTTGTTCGGTTCCCTGACTTGTCTCTATCAATGTAATCCGATCGTCGTGTGTCTGACACCTGACTTCATTGTTCCTTTTCTCAATGCAATCCAGACAAGGAGATCAGCGTCGCCGTCCCGGACTTCGCCAAGGCCATTCCCCTCGGCCGTCACACGCTCAACGATCTAATTACCCCCGTTGAAAACGACCTCCAGATGCTGAACGAGAATCTCAAGTCGGTACGTCTCAATTCATCATTTGTAGCATATTTCAATCGCGTCAGCTTGATTTTGTGGATGGTTTTGTTCGAGTCTGAATTGTGTTTCTACCAAAGGAGGAGAAATAAATAGTCCAGTATTCCCGAAACATCAAAGTCATCTCGCGTAGCATTTCTCCTTCTTAACGTGTTCGTATACTCTCTTCTCTAAAATATTCCCTCCTTGCTTTCGATGCCTTTTCGCGCCGTTTTATGAGTATCCTCGTCTGTTTCTCTCCTTCAATTGTCAATCCTTATCTTTACTTCCTATTCGTGCTCCCCCCCTCTCCACCGTCCTGCCCTCCCTCCGCCTCCCACAATGTACCTCCGCCTTTCGCAGGTCGTGGGCGCGCGTCATCCTGTTCTCATGTCCGCCGCGGAGCAGATCTTCGGAGCGGGCGGGAAGCGCATGCGCCCCGCGCTCGTGCTCCTCGTGGCGCTTGGCACGGCGCAGTTAATGGGTCTCGAGTAAGTGCTCTTTCGCGTTGCTAGCATCGTCATGCTGGTGTTTATGTTGCTCGCGCTTGGTGTTCATGCTGCCCATGCTCCCCGTGCTGTTCGTTCGTTGGTCCTCGCGCTCCTCGTGGCGCTCTTCACGGCGCAGTTCGTGCACCTCGTGTGAGTGCTCTCTCTGCCCGCGCGCTCGCGCAGCTAGCGCTGCTGGTATCGTTCTTGCTGGTCACGCTTGGTACACGGCTTGCGCTTCTCGTGCCCGTCAGCGTTCACGTGCTCGTCATGCTGCTCGTACTGCTTATGCTACGCATGCTCCTGCCCCGCTCGCTCGTTGCTGACGTCTTATTGCTTTGTTAAGCGCCCTTACCGAGATGGTTCGTGCGGAGCACGATTACGTCCGGAGGCCTTTGCTGACTGAGCGTAGGCGCGGCTGTGCGCTACGCGCGGTGCGTCAACTGAATTGCGTGCGCGTACAGAGAATGCAAGGGGAACAAAGTAGCCACGCCTCATCCATCCCCCCACGTACTTCTTCATCCCCTTCCCCCCCCCCCTCCCCCTTACCCCCATATTTCCCACCGTCTTCCTACTCACTGGAACTCCATCATGATACCCTCAATCCGTCTGTGCTGCAGCGGCATCCAGCCGAAGCAGCGGCGGCTGGCGGAGATATCGGAGATGCTGCACACGGCGAGTCTGATGCACGACGACGTGTTGGACGACAGCAGCCAGCGTCGCGGCAAGGCCACCGTGCACCAGCTCTACGGCACGCGCGTCGCCGTGCTCGCGGGGACTACCTCTTCGCGCAGTCGTCGTGGTTCCTCGCGAACTTGGACAATCTCGATGTGATCAAGCTCATCTCGCAGGTACAGTCGGCGGCTGGGCCGCGGGTGGGTTGGTGGCGTGCCCTAGGTAGGGTGTTGTGAGTCGTGTCAAAGCATGCCTCTTCGCGCAGTCGTCGTGGTTTCCTCGCGAATCTGGACAGTCTGGACGTGATCAAGCTGATCTCGCAGGTACGGTGGCGGGCTGGGTTGCGCTGGGGCATATCTCTTCGCGCAGTAGTCGTGGTTCCTCGCGTATCTGGACAATCAGGACGTGATTAAGCTTATTTTGCAGGTATGAGGCTAGGCTGGGGTACGCGCGTGCTGGATTGTAGGTTGATTGGGCGTTTCTTAGGCCGGGGTCGGCTTGTCCGGAGAATTTTAAGAAAAGCTGGATCCAGTTTGAGAGTGTGCCTCCGAAGTCGACTCTATTCTTAGGACAGTTGGCTCCTGGTTAGGAGTGCCTAAGGTGTTGGCGCTTCCATAAAGTATTGTGAACGTTGAGAAGGGGTGCGTCGAAGGGGCCTGGAGAAATGGAGCACGTGGCAGTGGGATCGGGGGGGGGAGGGAGATCAGAGAAGTACAGTCGTGAGATAGTCACTGAAATGGATGGAGAGGATTAGTGCGAGTCGTATAGAAAGGCGGGCGCCTTTTTCCCACCGACTCTCCTTCCGTTCCCACCCCCACTCGGAGCAAAGTCAGATCCGCCCCTGGCTGGACCTAGCAGGCATGGGATTGATTCTCTCTCGCACTCAGTGTCTCCTCACCCTCCTCGGTCGTCTCTCCCCTCATCTCCCCGCCCTCATTGCTGATTTCGCGAACGGGGAGATCCAGCAGGAACCTGGTTTGATCTCTCTCGTTATCCCCCCCACCCCACACGCAGGCCATTGCTGATTTCGCCAACGGGGAGATCCAGCAGGCAGCGAGTCTATTTGACGCGGATCTGACGTTTGAGCAGTACCAAGTCCGCCTCGCTCATTGCTGCCAGCACCAAGTCCGCTGCTATCACCCCCTCCTGCACACCTCCTCGTTATCTGCGTCTTCCCTCCTGCTCTCTCCCCCTGTCCCCACCCCATTCAGGGCTATGCCAGTTCCGTTGCTAGCCGGATCTAGCAGACTAAGGTATGGGATGTCTCTTCCACTCAGTTTCTCCCCTCCAACCAACCACACGCAGGTCATTGCCGACTTCGCCAACGGAGAGATCCAGCAGGCGGCGAGCCTATTCGATGCGGATCTGACGTTTGAGCAGTACACGGAGAAGAGCTTCTTCAAGACCGCCTCTCTCATCGCCGCCAGCACCAAGTCCGCGGCCATCTTCAGCGGGTGCCCGCCTGAAGCCTGCAACGCCATGTTCGACTATGGCAAGCACCTCGGGCTGTCCTTCCAGGTGAGTGTTACCTGTTACATTGGGTGGTGGTCCTGCTGGAGTGCTGCTGCTGTCACTGGTGCTGATATAAGTGTGCTCGGAAGTCACTTTGCTGCTTTCTACAGAAGCCTGCAACGCAATGTTTGACTATGGCAAGCACCTTGGGCTATCCTTCCAGGTGTGTGATGTGGTGGTGCTGCTGACGGTGATGGTTACAGTGATATGGTGAACAAGTGAAATGTCGCACTTTCTTGGCCGGTCCTGCTGTCAGAGGTGTTACCTCTGTCCTTTCACCTTCCTCCCTCCACGTTCCTCCCCTCGTTCGCCTTCCTCCCCACCTCCTCCTTCCTCCCCACCTCCTCCTTCCTCCCCACCTCCTCCTTCCTCCCCACCTCCTCCTTCCTCCCCACCTCCTCCTTCCTCCCCACCTCCTCCTTCCTCCCCACCTCCTCCTTCCCCCCTTCCTTCTCCTTCCTCCCCACCTTCTCCTTCCTCTTTCGCCTTCCTCCCCACGTCCACCTTCCTTCTCTCCTCCTTTCTCCCCACCTCCTCCTTCCTCCCCTCCGTCACTTCCCATCTTTCTTTGGTTCACCCTCTCTCTCCCATTGACATGTCCCCTCCCGAGTTCCATTGGTGATTTTTGAGGCGCCTCAAAATTGACATGTCCCCTCCCGAGTTCCATTGGTGGTGAACAAGTCACAGAACAACTTACATGACCAAGGAGTATCTATCTCACTGCGCCTCAACGCTACGCAGGCAGCAATGTTGCCTTCTCCACCACATTCCTCTCTCCACATCCTCACAACCCGTCTCCATCTACATCCTCTTACCCCTCCCTCCGCTCCCACCGCCCCCCCCCCCCGTCCCCTATCAGGTGGTAGACGATATCCTGGATTTCACCCAGACGACCGAGTAGTTGTTCGGGGTTTTGAGTTATCTTAAAGCCCCCCCCACCCCCTACTCCTACCCTCCTCTCCCCATATCTCAGGTGGTAGACGATATCCTGGATTTCACCCAGACGACCGAGCAGCTGGGCAAACCTGCAGGTTCGGACCTAGCCTCGGGGAACCTGACAGCGCCGGCGCTCTTCGCCCTGCGCCACCCCACCATCGGCCCCCAGCTTCGGGAACTGGTAGATAGCGAATTCGTGGAGGAGGGGTCGCTAGAGCAGGCTGTTGAGCTGGTGCTGGCGAGTGGAGGCGTGGAGAAGGCGAGGGCAATGGCCGAGGAGCATGGGAGGAGCGCCAAGAGGGCTTTGGATATGCTTCCGGAGGGGGATGCGAAGCGGTCGTTGTTGGGCATGGTGGATTATGTTCTCGAGAGGTTGTTTTAAGGGGCGGATGGACGGATGGAGGCCAGGTTGGTTGGTAGTGCTGGTTGGTGTGTTGCTGTTTGTTAGGTGTTTAGAGTTTGTTGCTCACTCATCTCTTCCTGCTGTCAGGCGTTCTCGTGTCCCGCTTGAGTATGCCGAATGTACCTTTCATTCCCACTAACGCTTCTGTGGAGGAGGGGGGTATTATTGGCAGTTCAGCTAAGGATGGAGCGGGGAGGGCGTGAGCATGTGGAGTGGAGTGTTTGTGGTGGGGAGGGAGTGGGGGAAGAGCATTTTGAGACAAGACCTGAGAGTTAGGTGCTGTGGTAAAGACATAAGAAACGGGAGAAGTGTTATGCTTTCTGTCCTGTTAGGTGATTGTATATAACATTGTCCCACTGATTATGATTCTTTGGAGATCTGTTTTATGAAACCCTCACCGTACCCTAGGGAGGTAGGTACTTTGTAGGTGATAAAAAGAGCTGAAAACAAATGCCAATATATAAACATTTTGCTACAGTTGTGACAGTTGGCAGAGAGGCTAGTTTCCTGAAATTACCGGTAAGTGTCCACTTTATCGTAACTCACTAATAATATGATATTCTGTCAAACCTCAATTAGCCCTATGCTGTGATAAGCTGTCAGCAGGTTGGTTGGCAAACGGATAATCTGTAGAGCCCGAGATGTGTAACCAAAAATCTTTCCATCCTACCCATGCCCACGGCGCGGCGCGCTCATCCCTGCACAACTAACGTAGACACCTAGTGATGATGAGAGGGGGAAACGCGCTGGCTGGCAGTGGCGGTATTAACAAGACCACTTAGTACGGTACGGTACGGTACGGTACGGTACTAGTGCTTCTTGGTGGACCGAGGAGGAAGCTGAGAGTGGATACACGGAGGAGAAGGGGTGATAGGGAGAGAGAGAGGGTGATGGGGAGAGAGGGGTGACGGGGAGAGGGGTTGAGAAGAGAATGAATAAGGGAAGGGATGTTACGAAAGAGAACGTTGTGGGGAATAACAAAGGGGGGGATATGGCAAAGATTGAATGGAATTGATGCACTTCTGCATCTGACCCACCAGCACACTCCCCTCCCCTTCCCCACCTTGAGTAGGCGTCGAAGCATCTCAACCACACTGTACAGCCCATGAGCCGGCTATTGAGGTGCCTCAAAAATTCGGTCCCCCCCTTCCCCATGTGTCTCTGACTGACCTTGGGTGGGCGTCGCAGCATCTCAACCACACTGTACAGCCCGTGAGCCGGCCCATAGGCCTGCGCTATGTCCAAAGGGGTGCGCCCGTCCTGGATTGCAAAGGGGGGAGGATGAAGGGGGAGGGGGTGAAACAAACCCAGGGGCCCTGTCTCTGAGCCAGCCTAGTTTTGAGGCGCCTCAAAACTAGGGTTGAAACAAACCCAGGGGCCCTGTCTCTGAGCCGGCCTGTATGCCTGTGTTATGTTGAGAAAATTGTGCCCATGCCCTCACATGCCATCCACTTCCCTTTCTCCTTCTCCTCCCCCGTCCTTCCCCCCCCTCCCCTCCTCCTCCTCCTCCTCCTCCTCCTCCTCCTCCTCCTCCTCCTCCTCCTCCTCCTCCTCCTCCTCCTCCTCCTCCTCCTCCTCCTCCTCCTCCTCCTCCTCCTTCTCTTCTCCCCCCTCCTCTCCCTTCTTCTCTCCTCAACCACCCTCTGATCCCCCCAACCACCCTCTTCCTATCTTTCCTCCAAACCCGAACCTGTCCCCCTGGGCTCCCTCCCAATCCCATCCCTACTCCCACTTCCCCCCCCCCCGCACCTGTGCTTGCACTCGTGTCTTTCCCCCCAGCACCAGCAGCGCTCGCACCATCTCTATGCGCCCGCTCTGCGCTGCCACGTGCATGGGCGTCCACCCCCACTGGTGATGGGATGAAAATTGGAAGAGTTGGGGAGAGATGAGAGAGCAATGGGGGTGCTCGCACCATTTCCACTCGCCCGCTCTGCGCTGCCATGTGCTTGGGCGTCCACCCCCACTGGTGGCCACAGGTGATCGTAAGGGGACAAGGTTAGGGGTGGGAAGGGCGTGAGACGAGGGAATAGAATAGACAAGTGATACCAGCAAAAAAAAAAAAAAACAGCTCAGGGATCAGATAGGCATTGCCAATGTAACCATACTAGTCATGGGAGCAGCATATTGCAGTACTGCGGCCCTTGACTTTTGAGTCGACTCAAAAGTCTTTTGAGTCGACTCAAAAGTCACCTCTTTAGTCATGGGAGCAGCATACTGCAGTACTGCGGCCCTTGATTGCCATGCCAATCATCTACCCAGCAATGGCAGCGGCATGGCATGGCTATCCCACAGAGGCATGGCATGGCATGACCAGGCAGGTACCTGGTCGGCGGCGTTGACGTCAGCTCCCTTCCTGCAGCAGCAGACTTTTGAGGCGCCTCAAGGTCACTCACCACAAGCCACCTAAAGGCAGTACCTGGTCTGCAGCGTTGACGTCAGCTCCCTTCTGCAGCAGCAGGCGTGCCATTTCGACGTTGCCTGTGCGCACTGCATGGTGCAACATTGTGGCTCCGTGCTGTGGTTGTGACAAGGCCGGGAGGAAAGATCGGGGGGCAAAGAGCCGAACAGACATGCATTGAGAATCAAAGCAGGCGTGCCAACAGGCAACAGGCAGCTGGCAACAGGCAACAGGCAACAGGCAACAGCCGTGCCTTCTGCACATCGCTCTTTGAATCGACTAAATAAACGCTTGTTTCCTCCATCCCTCTCCACACCCACCCCACTACCCCCCTCCACCCCCCCCTCTGGACGCGGATCTTCAGGCTTGCTCCGTGTCGCAGCAGCAGCTTCGCCATTGCCAGCCGGCCCATTCCCCCCCCCCATCCCCCCACAAACCCCACCTCACTTACCCCGTACCGATTCCCGCCTCACTAATTCCCCCCATTCTCCCCCTCGCCACCCTCCTCCCACCTGGTCTCGGATCTCCAGGGTTGCTCCGTGCCGCAGCAGCAGCTTCGCCATGGCCAGTCGCCCCCTGCCACTGCGTGCTGTAGCGCTGTCGTGCCGTCCTGACGGGCATGCAGGGCACACAGGGGACACACAGGTTGCACGGGGCAAGGGGCACACGGGGGGCACGGAGGAGTCATGCCATGGCCAGTCGCCCCCCTGCCACTGCGTGTTGCAGCGCTGTCGTGCCGTCCTGATGGGCGGGCATGCAGGGCATATGGGGGGGGTGGGGGAACAACGGATGGTGCATGGTGCAGGGAAAAGGGGTTAGGCACGTGCAAGGGTGCGAAGATTGTGACCCATGGCCAGATGCCCCCCTGCCACTGCGTGTTGCAGTGCTGTGGTGCCGTCCTGATGGGGTTGCATGTAGGATGTAAGGATGGGTGGATGCACACGGCAAATGTATGTATCAAGGTTCATCGTGCGACTGTGTAAGCGTGCATGCTAGCTAGCTGCTTGTTGTTTCAGGTGCAGATTTGAGTCGACTCAGAGAAAATGCTTTTCAACAGGTGCTTGTTTCAACAGCCATGCGCGAGTCCCCTCGAAAGTGCATTTCACCGTAGCTATGAGCGAGTGAAGGGGTTGCGTGAGTGAATGCGAGTGAGGGGGTGCGTGAGTGAACGCGAGTGAGGGGGTGCGTGAGTGAATGCGAGTGAGGGGGTGCGTGAGTGAATGCGAGTGAGCGAGTGAGTGAGCGAGCGCGTGCGTGCGTGAGTGAGTGAGTGAGTGAGAGCGTCAGGCACAACACAACCACATCAGCACCATCCGCACCAGCAGCAGCACTCACGGCATCAAGGGCGTCAACAGCAGCGCCACTGGCGAGCAGGTGGGAGACGAAGAGACTTTGAGAGGCACCTCAACCCCCCCCCCTCCTTACCACCAGCACCACCAACGTCACCACTACTCACGGCATCAAGGGCGTCAACAGCAGCGCCACTGGCGAGCAGGTGCGAGACGAAGGGCGTCTGGCCCGTGGCTGCCATGGTGTGCAGTGACACCCACTTGGGCTGTAGGCACACGAGGGGGGGAGGGGGAGAGGGGGAAAAATAGGGAGGAAGGGGGAGCGGAGGAAAGAGGAAAGGAGAAAGGGATGGATGGAAGAGGAGTCACAGAGAAGGCCATAACACTCACAGAGGAGTCGTTTCTTAGAATTCTCTGGAGTGTGCCACAGAGATGCTTTCCAAGTCGCCTCAAAGAGGCAAGATTTTTTTTTTTTTTTTTTCTATTTTTTTGCAAGTGTAAAAACAATAAACAGATGAAATGTGGTGTGGATACTTGATAGACTTACAGAGGAGGTCATGACCACATTGGTTGCTGGGGCCCGCTTCTTCAACCCCTCCTCCGCTGCTGCTGCACCTTCCTCTGCTGCTGCAGCTGTTGATGATAATGTTGTTGCTGCTGCTACTCCCGCTGCTGCTTGCTTGCCCAGCTTTTGATGTGAGTGGCAAGGCCAGCCGCAAGGAAAGAGGGGGGTGTGGGGGGAAGAGCAAGGAGAGCACGAGTAAGGGAGTGGCGAATAAGGGGACGGGAAGGAGACAAAAAGATGGGAGGTGACCCGTGACCAGTGGGACGCGTGACCAGTGGGACGCGTGACCAGTGGGACGCGTGACCCGTGGGACGCGTGACCAGTGGAACGCGTGACCCGTGGGACGCGTGACCAGTGGAACGCGTGACCAGTGGGACGCGTGACCAGTGGAACGCGTGACCAGTGGAACGCGTGACCAGTGGAACGCGTGACCCGTGGGAAGCGTGACCCGTGGAACTCACGTCGTTTGGAGCCGTCTCTTCCAGTGCATCTTCCAACCAGTCCCAGTCCTCCTCTTCCTCGTCTTCCTCTTCTCCCCCCTCCCCAACCCGCCGCTCCTCCTTTCCTGCCCGCGCGCCTGATCCCACGATGCCACTTCTCGTGCCATTACCAAGCGCGGCCCCATCCCCCAGCCCCTCAGCACCACCAGCAATGCCAGCAGAACCAGCCACACCAGCCGCAGAAGCAGAACCAGCACCAGCAGCACCACCACCAGCAGCACCACCAGCAGCAGCGTTGGCGCGGCGAGCAGCGACCTTAGCCTGAGCGTGCTTCCTCTCCTCCTCTAACCGCTCCTGCTTCCTCACCTTCTTCGTCTTGCTCACCTCCTCCTGAACCCACCGCCACTGCTCCGGCACCAACCGCTCCCCCTCCTCTTCCCCCTCCTCCTCCCCCCCCTCTCCCTCGTTTCCCACTCCCTCCTTTTTCTTCAACATTCCCGCCCCTTGTTGTGACTGCCCCCCTTGTTGCAGCTTCCATTTATCACCCACACCACTGCTGCTCATGGGAGACGAGGGTTCGAATCCTGCTGGAGACAGATTCAGCACTGGGTCCAACACTGCAGATTTCAAAGAAACTGGCGCGAACATTGACAGATCATCCATGTCCACGTCATTCATAATCCAGCTCATCCCCGCCCCGGGCTCCCCTTCCGCCGCCACCTCCGCTTCCGCCACCCCCAGGGTTCCCCCTATCCCCGCGCCAGCGGCTGCGCCCGCGCCAGCGCTTGAGCCGAAGCCCCCCTCCCGCGCGCTCCTGGGCAGCGGGTTGCGCGGGATTCCGGGGAGCAGATCCGCCTCCATGTCTGCCACGTCATCCATGTCATCGTACACGTCATCATCGTTCTCCTCCCCTGAGTCGCTACCGTCGCTAATCCCCCTCCCGCCTAACCGCCCCTGGCGGAAAGATTCCGCTTCTTTTCTCCCGCGACCTGCGCCGTCCGCAGGGCCTTTTCCGCCAGGGCCCTTGCGCCGCGGGAAAGGGGGAGGGGGCGCGGGAGTATTTCCCCCTTTCCGCTCATCGATCGTGCGCCCTTTGCGCTCCACTATTGGCTGACCGAATCGCCGCCCTTCGCGGCCAATCTGGTGCCCGAACAGATCGGACGGTGGGGATCCCCCTCCTCCACCGCGCGCGCGATTCCAATTTTGCTTGCCGCCATCTCCCCTTCCTCCTCCCCCTCCGCCCCCTCCTCCGCGGCCTCCGCCACCGCCTCCGCCGCCGTAACTAGCTCTGCTGTCCGCGGAGCGCGCTGCGTGCGGCTGGCCGTCGTTGTGCTCGCTGGTCGCGGAAGGGGCGCGGGGGGCCTGCGCGTGCGCCGTCTCGAGAGCCGCGGGCGTGGCGGAAGAGAGGGGGCGGGTGAAGTGGGGGAGTTGGCGGAGGGCGATGCGCGGATGGATGTTAGCGGGAGTCGCGAAGCCAGTGGTAACCACCGCGTGGAGCATTTTGACCCGCATTTTCGCGAACAGACTCGGATCGCCACGCTCGTAGTACGCGGGCGGGCACACGTGGAACGAATGTGCAACGCTCGAGGTCCACGTGTGTAGCATGTGGAAAATGGCTGCACCACTACCACCACTACTGAACCCGAAACCCAGAGAATTATGGAATTGGAGCGAAGGTTTTGTAAACACCAGCTCTAGATTGAGTGCTTGTTACCGGATCACTCCAAAAAGGATAGCGCTTCTGTCCCAATGAAACTACTAAACCAGAAAAAAGTGTATTTCTAACTAACATACAAACATACCTCCATAATCATGCAGGGGTGTCGATCGTAGCAAGAATAAAGTATATGTTTCCCTTCCAACACATGTGCTTGCTGAGCTAGCTACTGCAAGGGCCTCGGGAAGGGAAAACGTACCCACTATACTTCTGTCAGAAAGTGAGAATAAACTGTGAAGGAGAGGGGGTAGGTATACAAGTCTACAAGACAAGCCAAACTAGCCTAACTATGTACAACACAATTCAACATAAAAACTTGCACCCTCTAAGCATCAACAACACGAGACAACTGAAAGTAGTCAAAGCGTGCCGCCAATCACACCTTTCGAATCTGATACCACCATCTTCCCGCAGAGCGCATACTCGTTCGTATCAGTCGCAACATGCCAGAAAGAACCAGGATCCATAAACGTCTTCATGATATCTAAAGACTTCTGCAAATGCCCAGGCGTATAATGGTACCACTTATAAAAGGCGTAGCGCGGTTTACGACCTTTCTTGGGGGGCGTGGTCATGTTAATATACGAGACTTGGGGGTTTTGATCCCAAATAGTGCCCGCAGCAGTGCAGGAAGTGCCCGAGTGTAGCACAGGGATAGCTCCCGAGCTGAGTTTACGGTATTCCCAATAAAGGCTGATGTAATATGCCGTTCGTGAAAACCTACACAGGGTATAGAAGTCGATGGTCGCGAAGGGGAAGAGGAGCAGGTGGGGTGATCAAACTTTCTGAGGAGAGGGGTGAATGGCTGAAGAGAAAAGATGGGAAAGGGAAAGATTGGGTGGGGTGGGGATGTGGACCGGTGAGACTTGTTAGAGCGCAAATCTCCAACCTTTCAGTGACTACTAGAAGAGCAGCAGCCAATCGAATCACACGGAAACGCACTCACTTCATAATCTTCCAAAAGAGTGTCCCAAATGCTCCTCTGTCGCCAATCACTTTCCCCTTGTGCTTAGTAGGACGCAACTTGACCCAATACCATTCTGGCAGTGGGAAAGGAACGGATAGTAAAGGCACATGGGGACGGACGACGCATGAGTGATAGAGGTACATACATGGGCAGTGGGCACCACTGAATGAAGGCCTGATGGTGGCATGCAGTGTCATGGTATGGAACGAAATGCGGGGCATGCAAAACCTCGGAGGATCAAGTGCTCTCAGGACTCGGAAATGAAGGATGTATTACTACCGGTATAGTATACTAGGCCGCCATTACAGTGCACGTGACGGCGCAAAGAGCGCCGTTGAGAACGGCTGAAGAGCAGACTTACGATACGTGACCCCCGGACTGTCAAGCGTTGCTGCACTGCCGTGGCTGACGCTGCCGAGTGACTTTTGAGGCGCCTCAGAAGAGCTACGATACGTGATGTCCGGACTGTGAGTTGCTGCGCTGCCGTGGCTGTGGCTTACTACGCGGCCGAATGATGGCGGAAAGATTGTCGCAGACGCGGCAGCGAAGCACGCCGCACCTGGCGGGAAAGGCAGCGCGGCACGAGGAAGCATGATGATCACGACCGTCCCGAGACGTCTTAAAACGTCTCAACTTAAATAAGGGGTTATAGTAGGTCGACGTCGACGTTAACCTCTGACAGCAGTGGCAACTGAGTTGAACAGGGCGGCGCGGTCGAAAAGCTGAGCACGAGGCGTCGCGTCACCGAGGCGCGACGCGATGCCGATAGTGCATCGCCACACGTTTGACATGAGGAAGAACTAACTAGCAATGCCAATAAGGAGGATCGAAAAGGAGAGACGTCGCCGCGCGCTCCATGTTTGCCAGTGGAACTATTTCTATGCTGGAATAAGGGACTTCTTGGAATCGGAGGAAGTAAGTTTGGATTGAAAGTGAGGGACCAAGGGCCCGCCAAGCAGCTTCGGGAGTACAGCTGAACAGAGTTGCCAGGGTAGGGTAGCTTTACTTCCTCACTTACGTAGTCAGAAGGCGTTCCCACAAGTTTCCCGACACTAAAGTTTGCCCACGCGGCTCGCAATGTTGCCAATTTCGTAAAAATTGCCAACATGCGGCTCGAAGTTTTCCCACAAAGATTCCCATCAAAATCGGTCGTGCAAGTGTTCATCCACGACCGTGTACGATCACATCTGACGGCCCAAGACGCCATCCGAAATGGGCCACGACCCAACCCACGTTTATGTGCTATTGAACGAAGTTCAGCTGCCCGTTTTTCAAGTCAACGCCACTCCCTAGCAGCGAAGGTTTCCAAGTCAACGCCATTCCCAAATTTCGGGCACCGTTATATGCGGGAGTCAGAATTCCCAGCAGAGTTGTCGAGTCCAACCGATTTTTTTACGTGGAGTTTTATTGGCTGCGACTATATTTTTGAGCGGGAAAATTGTTAGAATGTCGCAATCTGGTCGTAATGGCTCGCAAGGACGCGGTGTCCAGAGTGGGGCAGTACCCCACTCTGACCACCATTCCGCCAATTTATGAGCCTGGTGGGCAAACTTCAGTGTCGGGAAACTGTGGGAACGCGCCAAGTCACTTTTCTCGTGTTTGTTTTGTGTCTCACACGTGGGCTGGGCTGGGTTGCACTGGGCTGCGCTGTGTTCTGCGGCCCAGATTGCGTTGCGAGGCGCGCAGGTCAACCTTGAAGCTGTCGAGGGGTCCCTCTAGCGTTGAAAATTGAGCCCACCAACCAAGGGGGGTCAGGTGTACAGTACAATGAGGACCCAGCCCACCTGGAGAAATCCGTGGACTAGATGGGTGGGCGAAAACATGAAATCGAAATCCTGGTAACGTCCTAGCCTTGATAAATACGAACCTACAGAAGATGAAACAAAGTGCTTAGTATACCAGCCAGAAATGTTTGTGAAGCAGTTTCAGCTTAAGTATATCAACGCACACAAACATGCACAGCATTGCATTGCACACATGTGTAAACCAATGTGAATGTGAAACACGACCACCAGATCGAGACTCTATAGTGCATACATGACATGCACCACCGCCACCACCAGTACGAGTTGCTAAAAGATCTTCAACACGAGTTCCATCAGAAAAGGCAGCAGGAAGTCAAGGAGTCAAGCCAAGTCAAGCCAAGGCAGGGCGAGTCAATCACCAGCCAAGTCAGGACAAGTCACGCCCGCCAGGAATACGTCAGGTGTTGCCACTGCGGAAACGACCGCCGAGCCTCCTCCAAGGCTGCTCGCCGCCGAACCAAGACATGAGGCTCGGATTGCCCTTGCTCCGCTGCTGCTAGTCCTGCCGCTGCTGCATGTGCTGAGGGTGAAGATGATGGATCAAAGGCAGAGGCTGTAGCAGCTGCAGATGCGGAGGACACGCCGGTGCGGTCATATGCAATGCGGTCGTATGCGGTGCCATCGCCTCGGAGCTTCCGAGGATTCTTCCATCGCCACTCGAATTGGAACGCTGTAAAGGGGAGAACAGAAGGGGGGAGCAAAGATGTGATGCTGAAGAGGAAATGCTCAGGGAGGTATGGGTGCGATTTGATGGGTGAAACAATGTGACTTGTGCCTTGCATCATGCCATGCAGCACAGATTCCTTCTATACCCATCCATCTCCCTTCTCCCCTCCCCTGCCCCTCTCCCTCCACTTGCCCTTTCCCCCTACCCATTCCCATTCCTCCTTATCCTTCCCCTCTCCACCCCTCTGGCACCTCGTCTCCTGGTTCCAAACCTCGACACCACAGACACGAGCGCCCATGGCCTGCCGGTGCACACTGCAGTGACTGCACATCCCTTCTTGAGGCACCTGCGTCTCACGCACCTTTAAAACGTTACCTGTGGCCTTCCCCATCCCCATCCCAACCCTCGCACCTTCGCTCCTGGTCCTGAAACCCGACACCACAGACACGAGCGCCCACGGCCTGCCCGCCCGTGTTGACTTGGCTCCCCCCACCACCTCCCCGTTGTGCTGCTTCAGCCTGGAAGGGGGAGAGGAGAGGGGGAAAGGGGGAGAGTAGGGAAAGGGGGAGAGTAGGGAAAGGGGGAGAGTAGGGAAAGGGGGAGAGTAGGGAAAGGGGGAGAGGGGAGGGAAGAGAGGGGAGAAGAGCTGGGTGCATGCACTTCTGAGATGAGTTGGCTTCTTCCAACACCTCTCCGTTGTTGTGTGGCGGAACAGGGGTAAGGGGGATGGGAAGAAAGGGCAGGGGAGAATGAGGGAGGGCCCACGTCTCAAAACTTGAAAAGGCGGGGGAGAATGAGGCAGGGCGCAAATAAGACAAGCATTTAATGGGTGTTACCATACCATTCTTGAGGGGTCTCAACAGTCAGCAAGAGAGAGACGATTAATGTGAGGCTCCTGAGAAATAAACCACGTTCTGATTTTATTCAGAGGTCTTCAATATGTGATGTTGCTAACAACAGGAACAGGCACACACACGGGGAGAAGCACACAGCATATCAAGCTATTAACTCACCTTCTCTCAGCGTCCATAGTAACACCCACATATGTCTTCTTCCCATCCGCAGACAGCAGCAGATAAACACTCCACGTCCCCGCACCCTCCTCCTCCTCCTCGTCCTCCTCCGATGCTCCCCCAACCTCCCGCCCCCCTACCATCCCCCCTTGCGCCATCCGTGCACCCCCCATTCCCCGTGCCCTCCCCCCTCCGCCGCCCCCTCCCTCTCCCATTCGTGAACCATCCCCCCAGCCACCCACACCCAGGCCGCCACTCAACCCCATGCCTATGCCCGTACCTATCCCCATGCCCGTGCCTATGCCCATGCCCGTTCCTGCTCCGCCCTCCCCCTGTTCCCGCCCGTTCCTGTCGGCCCCTTCCCCCGCCCCTGCCTGCTGCCTCTGCTGCTCTGGGGGATGCGCGGAAGGGGAAGTGGTGGAGGAGAGGTGGGGGGACTGAGAGGTGTAGATGCCGTTTGTGCTAGCACCACCACTGCCGCTGCCGCTGCCGCTGCTGCTCCCAACGTCTGAGCTGGAATGGCCGGATGATTGGGGGTTTAAGGAATATGGGTCAGGGTTCTGACCCAAAGTGTGCTGGGGGGGAATAGCGTGGTGAGAAGGAGAGGAGGAGACAGAGGGACCTGACGAGCTAGGAGGAGTTGAAAGAGAGTCAACGAGTAGTTGTTTGTCTAAGCCCTCCTGCTGCTGCCGCTGCTGCTGCTGTTGCTGCTGCTGCCGCTGCAAATCTTCCTGTTGCTGTTCATTCTGGTGATTCTGCTGGTGTAAGGCTACTTGCGGACTAAACCCCTCATCCTGCTGTTGTTGCAGCAGCTGCTGCTGTTGCTTCTGCTGCTGCTGCTGCTGCTGCTGCTCCTCCTGCAGCTTGCTGCAACTGCTGCAGCATCTGCTGCTGCTGCTCCTGGTTCTCTAGCTGATTCCGAATCTGCTGCTGCGAGTGAGTCGCGACGTGGGCGATACCAGGCGAAACGAACAGCTCGCGAAACTCCAAATCGTCAATCCCATAGCGCGCCAAGTCCCCATACGCGTCCAACCCATTCGCGCCGCTTGCGCCGTTACTCCCCCCTGACCCATGCCCCGCGCCCCCCGTCCCTCTTCCGCTTCCGCTCCCGCTCCCCCGCCCTCTCCCTTCCCCGCGCGCTAAACCGCCGCTACCGCTGCCACTCCCCCTGTTCCTGCCTGTTCGCGCAATCCCCCTCGTGCCACCAGCACTCCTACCGCCGCCGCCGCCATTACTGCTGCCGTTGCTGTTACCACTGCCCCTACTACCGCTGCTGCTGCTGCTGCTGCTGCTCCTTCCAACCGTGTTCTGTTGCGTCCCCTCTAAGCTACATAGGCAGCGGCCACTCATAGGGCCTCGTTTCTTGCGCGTCGACCCATTTATCAAGTTGTAAAAGCTAGCACCCGAGCCGCAGCCTTGAGCGCCGCTAAACCCGCTACAGTTAAGCGAGCCGCGAAGGCTGCAAGAGTCGCTGACGCCGTTAAACCCACCGGCGGAAACGGCTAGCCGCCAAGAAAGCCGTTGTGCTGTTCTCTTGCCGCTAATGCCCGAATACCTGTAGCTAACAAAACCAGCCCCCGGTACAGTCACATATCTCGTGCTGGTGAAAGTTCCGGAGGTGACAGTATCGGAGGCTCTGGCGCTCAGCTTCCGCGCGACACAGCCTCCGCTTAACATCCGCGGGGTCATCGCTCTTCCTGGCGGAAGCGGACGCGGAGGCGGAGGCGGAGGGGAAAGCAGAACGGCGAGACTTTGCGGGCACGCTGGGGGACGGCGCAAGGACGCGGCACAGCCGATAGAGCCGCGGAAGGCGGAAGCAGCTGCGGGGAGAGGCATGGCGGGTGACGCGCGGGCTACAGCGGCGCTTGCGCGCACGGGCAGGGCGGGAGCGCTTGCGCGGGGAGTGGCCAGAATAGGAGAGAACGGCCCGGATCGTAGACCCAAATGTTAAGGCCGTTAGGGCTATCGGGAAGCCTACAAGCTTGCAGGCGCGCCTAACTGCGATTCGTCGACAAATGTGAGCGCTTCTGAGCCAGCTTATCCGCGGACCGCGTCAAAACGCGGCGCGTCTGATGATCTAATCTGGTTGCGCTCGGCTGCTGGGGAAAATTCAGCGGTTCGACGTGGTCGTAAAGGAAAGTAGGGGTGTTAGGAGGTTAGAGACATGGTTCGAGATGGATCGATGGCAGGATGATCTCGAGCAGGAAGTTCGGAATGCAGCAAGACGCGTGGCGAAGATGGGCGAAACGATGGCGAGTTAGCGAAGACATGCTCCGCTTCTTCGCGACTGATATTACCCCGAGGACAGGTACGCGATCATAGCTGGAAAGCTGAAAAGCTCGTCTGGATCGGATATGGGAGACGACGACAAGAAGATACTCAAGTCGGGAGACCCGTCGCGGATGCGGAGTCGCGAAAAACAGCGCTACTTACGGCCCGAACGAAGAGCGAATCCGAAAGAGCGACCCGTGACACCTTGGAGACTAGCACATATCATAACCTCGTCCGACATGTCATCCCGCTATGGGGGACGCCATGGCTGGATTATTTTATTCTTCTGAGCAGTGCTTACCCGTTCACGCAGACCCCCATGGTTTCTGGCTGGGGAAAAGGGCTGGGGGTTGAGTTGGGGGAAGAGGAACTGTCAGGGGCTTATGGTTCGGGCGCATTTGGGGAAGCTGGGTCCAATGACTTTGGTAAGTGTCATCTGGTAAGTGTCGGTCATTCTCTGCTGGGAGCTTGAAACTGGTCCGCCTAATGATCTCCCCCTACTGACCCCTCATAAGTTGATGCTTTCAAGTTCTAAAAGTACATTTCACAAACCAAAACACAAGTGCCTCACACTCTGTACGGGGTCCCAGTGAGTTGAAAGTTGCGGCCCCCACGGTTCTGCGCTGGTCTGCCCTTACCGTTTCCGACCCACGCATTGACCTCCCCTTTCCTTAGAAGTGCGGAAAGAGAGGCTTTTCCGACGAGGATCAAATGGTAACCACATCTCGCGAACCCAAACGAAAGATGAGTACATTGGTGTCTGAAATCCATCAACAAGAGAGCCTTTTTGCGTAAAACCTCGTTTTATATGCTTTCGGTAGCGCGCCTAGCACTGTATCGAGGATAGTTGTTGCCGTGTCCATCTGGCTGACCTGTTTCTTCCTCTCCTCTCCAACCTAGTTCCAAGCTAGCCATAGATTTCCAAGTCAATCATAAAACACTAGGCAGTTTCAGGGCAAGCGTAGAATAGTCTAATCAGAAGAGATCGACAATTTGAAATCCTCACGTTAGCAGCAGCCATGGCTGGTGTGGATGTCGACATGCCTCTTGCGACAGGCGGCGAGGGCTCCAGCTCTGGGGCGAAGAAGGCCAGACGGTTTGAGATCAAGAAGTGGAACGCTGTCGCGCTCTGGGCCTGGGGTGCGTAGCTGCTGCCGCTGCTACTGCTTCTTCCTTTTTCGAGTCTCTCTTTCAGTTCGTTCCGGTTCAATTATGAATACTGACGTCCTATATTTATTCCGCCGTTTAGCCGTCCCCCTTCTTAGCGTAGCTTGCGTCGTGAATTTAGTAACTCGGACGAATTTCAGGTTGAGTCACTTGTCGTATTTTTGCTAAACCTGGATCGTGCACTAGTTTTGTCGGCGGAATCAGCCTCCTGCTAAAGGCGGCCGCTGCTAAGTCAGATTTAAACCGGATCACGTTTTCGCCATCTCTATCAGCCAAGCGTTCTCGTTTATTCGAATCCGTTTTGTTACTCCTCGATCTCTCCTATATCACACCGCGTCTTTATGCTGCCCGGTCATCCGAGCTCGAAACTCGTTCCTGCCTATTACCCACTTTAGGGTTAGGCTCTACTTATGCTCGCGTCGGGCTCTACTTATTTTCGTCTCCTTTCGTCCTATATTTCCGTTTGTGTCTGTATCCACCTATGATTGCATCTACGTGTGGTTATACCTGCAGATATCGTGGTTGACAACTGTGCCATCTGCCGTAATCACATCATGGACAAGTGTGAGTGCAGCGCTGCGTTATAGACTGCTTCCAGCTGGCTTCATGTTTTCTCTTTTTGCAAGTCCGTTCAGATCCTTGTTTGTCCTTTTCCTTCTCGTTCTTAATTTCTCCTCTCCCCCGTTTCACCATCACGCCCTCGCCCTCAAGTGCGTCTTCTGCATGCAGGTACTTAACGAGTTATCCTCCCCCTTCTCCCCCCGTTTTTCCCGTTTTTTCTCCCTCTTCCCCACCTTCTCCGTGCGGTTCACGGTGTAGGCATTGAGTGTCAGGCCAATCAAGCGAGCGCAACTAGTGACGAGTGCACTGTGGCATGGGGTGAGACTTACTTTCTGTCTTCTTGCTTGTGTAACTGCTGCTCGTCCATTTTACATGGGACCCCAATGGTTGAGTTGCCCACTCGTCGAATTTTCCTTCTCATGTTACACGGTACCTTCTTTTTACCCTCCTCTCCTCCCCGCCACTTCCTCTCCACTTCCTCTCACGCTCAGCATACTCAGTCTCACCCTCTCATTATTATTTTCCCTCGCCTACATCTCTTTCCTTCTCTGTCCCCCCTCTCTCCCCTCAGGTGTGTGCAATCATGCATTCCATTTCCACTGCATTAGTAGGTGGCTCAAGACACGCCAAGTCTGCCCTCTAGGTCAGTACACTCCTATTGTCGAAACTCTAAACTGCTTTGCCTTTTCAGGACCTGCCAGAAATTACTTTGCTATTTGAAACGGAGTACCACAAATCCTGGTCCTTCACTTTTCTTAAATCAATTTGGTGAAACGAGTGTGGCACGGTCGGTTGACTAGTGACAAAGCCAGTGGCGTTTGTTTCAGGAGGTTGTGGACTGGTATGCCTTGAGGATTTATCTCACCGCACCCCTTTCTCCCCTCACCATTATTTGTCATCTCCCCTTTTGGCTTTTCATCTACAGACAATAGTGAGTGGGAGTTCCAGAAGTATGGCCGCTGAGCCCCCCTTGCTGTACTTGTGTGCTGCATGGCGTGGCAAGGCTCAGGCTCCCATGCAACTTCTTGGCGTTGTGTGCTCTCACCTGCACTTGGGTATACATGCACCGAGTTCCGCTCAACGTTACATGATTTACCATGTTTCCAATCTGCTGATGCTATCGGCACATGGGGTGCTGTGCTTTGTCCCATGAATGCCGTGCTTGTGGTACAAG